ATAAAAATAAAGCTGTCAAATTTAGTTGCTTTATGTGACAGGCTAGGGACTTCATCTGAGAAACGGAGTTATTATCAAAGGCATTGCCTTTAGGGGAATACCAGAGACAGGATGTCTTGAGTAAAACTTTCATCAAAAAAAAAAAAAAATGTAGACTGGGCAGCCCAGGGCCTGATGCTGGAGACCCTGGATTGAGTCCCACGTCAGACTCCCTGCATGGAGCCTGCTTCTCCCTCTGCCTGTGTTTCTGCCTCTCTCTCTGTGTTTCTCATGAATAAATAAATAAAATATTTTTTTAAAAAAATGTAGACTGCTAGAGATGGAAGGCATTTGGCTTCTTCATTTTGGACGAGGAATCTTGAGACCAGAGAGGTTGACATGATATCCAACAACACATAGCAGTAGGTGGAGTAGAGGACAAGATCCAAGGCCTTTCAAATACCAATATTTATCCTTTCTATTCTACCATTGTCTCCCTTCCTGGCTACGTCCTATTGGAACTTGTCTAATTCAGAAATACATTTAGAACTGAATTTTACTGCAGTTTGATATTACAATTATCTGGACACATGGTGAGGGGACTGAGAGACTCTTGGGAGAGACCAGAGTGGTGGTGCTTCATTCCTGTACGTCCGGAGCTCACAGAACTGGTGGGGAGGCAGCTGGTGAGAGTGATTCCTTTCTTGTTCTGTGGATGGTAGCTGCAGTGGAACTAAAGAACACATAGTAAGTTCTCGATAGACCTTGCTGACAATCTGACAATAAGAAGAGCCTTAAAATGCTCTTTATCATTTGATCTACTAATTGCGTATCTAGAACTTATCCTAAGAAAATATTCATAAATTAAAACCTTCAGTTTTTTTTTAAGTTCATCACTGGAATAGTTATATAAGCAAAACTTCTTTTATTATTTTTTTTAAGATTTTTATTTATTTGCTCAGGAGAGACACACAGAGAGAAGCAGAGACACAGGCAGAGGGAGAAGCAGGCTCCTCACAGGGAGCCTAGTGTGGGACTCGATCCCAGGACCCCAGGATCATGCCCTGAACCAAAGGCAGACACTCAACTGCTGAGCCACCCAGGTGTCCCAGAAGGGGGGATGCTCTGGGTCCTACTGGTTTAGACTTGCCTTCTCCTGTTTCACAACAGCAAGTCTGAGGGCCTTCGAGGAAGAAGGTGCCCCAGAGAAACAAGGACAACCACACTGAGGCTGCCACTTCCTCTCTGAACCAGGGTGGCCTTATGTCAGACACATTTATTGAACCTACCATTTAGCAACTAAAGTTATAATTGGGTCTCAGAGTGAATTCCAGCTCCAGATCTCATACTTTTCACATGTGGCTCTAGCTCTTTGGATCCCAGTCACCTTATCTATAAAACAGTTGGTTTAACATACCTGTCTGTAAGGTGCTTATACTCTAGCCAGTCATAAGCTCCTACTAAGAAAATTCCATGAGTTCATCCACCATGAGCCCCATGGCCCCCAACTTCTGTGTTCTTAGAATGTGGTAAACTGAAAGAATACTGTTTCTAGCCATCTCTGTGCCTCTAGTAAAAGTCTGATCTTGAGACTCTTTCTCTTTATTTATTTTGGGGTGGTTTTTTTTAAGTTTTTTTTTTTTTAAGATTTTATTATTTGACAGAGAGAGAGAGAGAGCATAAGCAGGGGGAGCAGCAGGTAGAGGGAGAAGCAGGCTCCCCGCAGAGCAGAGAGCCCAACTCAGGGCTCAATCCCAGGATCCTGAGGTAATGACCTCAGCTGAAGGCAGATGCCTAACCAACTAAGCCACCCAGGTGTGCCAAAACTCTTTCTTTTTAGTTCAACCACCATACATCATATTTTCTAAATAGTATAATACTTGACATAACTTAGAGAGGTATTACAAATGATACTTCTTAACCCAAGGATTGATTCTGTTAACATTATTAGAGTCTGCTGTAAGGTACTCACTGTGTTCCCACAGATTTCCTAATTTCTCAGAAACCCAGGTACTATGAAAATGGCTTTGATCTTTAATGGTCTGATACACGGTCAGTTGAGAAAAGGCTGCAACAGGAGCCAAGCACAACCAACACTCTTCCTCCTACCCCTATGATTTGTAAAGGATCCAGTAAAGTGTCTGTGATTTTTATGATTCATTTCCTGGAAAAGGCAAGTTCTGCTTTCACGGTCAGCAGAACCCACAGGGCAAAGGATTTGTCCAGTTGGCCCCTGGGTTAGGCCTGGAAATGGATTTTTTACAATCTACATGATCATGTATGTAGGACCACAGGCACATAAGCAGGCACTAGAGCATCTGCCTAGTGGCCAATATGCCTGCTAACCTGTATTTTCTTCAGGCTGAAAACATCAGTTATTTCAAAAAATTTATTGATTCCATACAGAACCCCAAACTGGGCTACTTTGAATATACCAAGTAGAACTAAACAGAATTTATAGTCCCTGCCCCCAATTAACATCTAGTTAAGGAAATAGGCAAAACACATAAAACTGGCATAAGAACACTGGCAAAGGAAAGAAACATAAATGCAAATCCATGTCACACAAACTTCTTAAATGTTGAGAACTAGAAAAAGGAGTAATTTGCATGTATCCTTTTGACCAATAATCACTAATTTGTCTTTCTTCTCCGGTGTTCTCTTTTTTTTTTTTTAAGATTTTATTTATTTATTCATGAGAGACACACGGAGAGAGGCAGAGACACAGGCAGAGGGAGAAGCAGGCTCCATGCAGGGAGCCCAACGTGGGACTCGATCCCGGGTCTCCAGGATCACACCGTGGGCTGAAGGTGGCGCTAAACCGCTTGGGCCACCCGGGGTGCCCACATCTTGGTCATTTTTAATCATTCTGTAATTCCTCATTGTGCTAATATATCTCAGTGAGCATGAAGGTTTTCTTATTGTCAGGATTTGTAGTTGTTTCCAGTCTTTACTATTAAATTAGCAATAAGAACCTTTGTAGTTTCCCATTTTCCAACAGTGAAATTACTTGATTGAAGAGTACAAATCATTTTATACCTCTGGTTACAAACTGCCAAGTTGTTGGGCAAGGTTTATTTTTTAAAAAGGAAAATTGGCTGGGCACCTGAGTGACTCAGTCGGTTAAGCCACCGACTGACTCTTGGTTTTGGCTCAGGTCATGATCTCAGGGTCCAGGGATTGAGCCCTGAGGGGTAGCTTTCTGCTCAGTAGAGAGTCTGCTTCTCCCATTCCCTTTGTGTTCTCTCTTTCTCTCAAAAATAAATAAATAAATAAATAAATAAATAAATAAATAAATAAAATATTTTAAAAAAACTATATATATATATATATATATATGAAAATTGGCATACAGAGGAGCAGCTATCGTTCCTGAACAAGATGCAGGGCCCTGTGAACCAGATGCCAGGACACTTGAGCTTCCTTACAGGCATTTGCAAAGTCCCATCTCCCGTTCTGAGACTCAGTTCTCTTATCTGTAAAATGAGATATTTGGATTGAACAGATTAAGGCCCTTCTCTACCAGAAATCCAGCTGTACTTTGTACCCAGTCTGTACTGTATGACCCTCTCCTGACTCCTAGGGGCTCAGACTCTAGCTCAGCGCTTGGGACAAGGCTCTACTTCCTTTGCCTCGGTTTACAGTCCCATCAAACAAAGTGCCCAAATACTAGTGTCCTCAGAGGAGAGACAGCAGAAACCCCTGTTCAAAGCACAGGCTGGTTTGAATCCCCACCCTGCCACTTACTGGCTGTGTGACAGAACACCTAAGGTCCCCTCTGTCCCTAAGATCAATACTAGTTCCTACTTCAGCGGGTTCTGAGAATTAAATGAATCAGTCTGTAAGACACTAAAAACAGTGCCTGGCACACAGTCAGCGCTTTATACCGTGCTTGCTGAATAAGCGAGAGAAAATCTAGCAACACACTCTGGGTCTCCTCACACTACAACAGCTTCCTGACTGGCACACCCGGCCTCTGGGCGCTTCCTCGCGCCTTCCTAGGGCCCAGAGGTCTGAGCCCGGAATGCCTCCACCTGAAGGGTCTCCTGCGAACCGCAGGTCACTCCAGGACCGCCTCTGCTCTCTGCTTCAAGACCCAGGCTCTCCACACACGACCTCCCTGAGGCCAGGAGACGCTGAAGACCCCTTCCTTCTAGGTAAGGGCCCTAGTTAATTCAGAAGAGACCAAAAATCCGAACAAAAAGGTAAACAGGGGGATCCCTGGGTGGCGCAGCGGTTTGGCGCCTGCCTTTGGCCCAGGGCGCGATCCTGGAGACCCGGGATCGAATCCCACGTCGGGCTCCCGGTGCATGGAGCCTGCTTCTCCCTCTGCCTGTGTCTCTGCCTCTCTCTCTCTCTCTGTGACTATCATAAATAAAAAAAAAAAAAAAAAAAAAAAGGTAAACAGGGTCACAAAACCTGTGGGGCATTTGCAGCGTTATTTTGGGCAAAGTAGAGCAGGAACGTGCTCCACGCTCAATGATGATCACGCGGTTCACAAGGTGACCGCCAAGGCTTCTCGCGGGGCTGTCTCCGGCCGCACAACCGTGGAGCGACGTGGCGAGGGGGCCGCGTCGGGTGGGCGCCCTGAGCCGGGCGAGGGCGCCTGGGGCTAAGGGCCGGTGGCCTGGGGCAGCCTCGCCCCCGGGATGGGCGCCCCGCACCCGAGCCGTCCGCAGAAGCTCCGATCCGGGCCGCGCGGCCCCCGGGACCTCGTCGCGAGCCCTCCACCGAGCCCGCGAGGGGGCGCGCCCGCCCCGGCCCTTCCGCGCGGGCCCGGGCGGGGAGGCGGGGGCCCGCTCCCCGCGCCACGCGGCTCCACCAATGAGAGCGCGCGTAGGAGGGCTCGGCGGTCCGCGCCGCGGGTGCTGAAAACCCGGCGCGCGCCAGCCGGTCCGTTCCCCGCGCACCCGGAGCCGGCGCGCTCCCCCGTGGGCCCCGAGCGCGCGCCTGACCGCCTCGGCCCGGATGGACTCCGAGACCCCTACCCAGGCGCCGGCCAAGCGCTACTTCACGTGGGACGAGGTGGCGAAGCGCTCCGGGCGCGAGAAGGAGCGGTGGCTCGTGATCGACCGGAAGGTGTACAACATCAGCGAGTTCACCCGCCGGCACCCCGGGGGCTCCCGCGTCCTCAGCCACTACGCGGGGCAGGATGCTACGGTGAGCGCCGCCTGGCCGCGGCCCGGGAGGGGGAGGGGGAGGGGGAGGGGGTGGGGCCGGGGCCGGGCCGGGGCCGGGGCCCGGCGGCTGCAGCGGGAGGCTCGGGGCGTGAGGCAGGGAGTTCGGCACCCCGGGACGAACTCCCAGCCAATTCGGGGAAGACCCAGCAGGCGCCGAGCATACCCGCTGCCCGCCACTCAGCACGGGAAGCAAGGGCAGGAGAGTGGCCGTGGAAACTGCAACCAGGAGATTGGGGATGGAGGCCGGCAGCGTGCCCGCACAAAGGACTGCGCCGCCGGCGCCTGCTTGCTGTCTGCGGCCCCGTCCTTGGTCGCCAAGCTAGGCAGGCCCTGGGGCAGGACAGGCCGGGAGGAAAGCCAGGATGAGGGGGGCGCTGAGGCCGAGGGAGGAGGAGCCAGGGGCAGGGAGAGGGGGTCTCGACCCTCCTCGGTGGGTGGGAAGGGAGCGCCGGGAGCGCCTAGACTGCTCGCGCAAACCTGAGAGCAGGAGCAGGAGAGGGAAGCATCTCCGGGGACCCGCTGTCTGGGGAACCCCGGCACGGGGTGACGGAGGAGGCCTCACCCACCGGAGAGTAGTGACTAATGGAGCGGCGTGCAGCAGGTGGGGGAGCCTGCGTCATCTTACACTCACAGAAACCCCCCGAGCCGACCTCGAACCGTGCTGGGAGGTCACTCGGCCGAAGGCCAGCGGGGTCTGCAGCTGTTCGCCGCAGCACACAGCTGTTCGCACTCCCGGGCTGTGGTTCGCATCCTTTCTGGCCTCACTATGGGGGTCAGCGCGCCATCCCGCCCCAGCCTTGCTCTTCCCTTTCTGGATCACCTGCTCTCGGAGGTAAGGCGACTGGCGCCTCCTGCCGTGGCTGGAGGCGGCCACCACCCCGTGCGACCCTGTAGAGACTTTGCTTCGCCGCGTCCCCTCCCCCCCAGCCCGCGCCCAGCGGCATCACCCCCTCCGCTGCCCCCACCCTCTGCCCTTGCCATCTGGGAGGGAGCCTGGGCCCCCTAGAATTCCCATTACGTCGCAGCGGAGCATGGACGTGTTGGGCTGAGGCCCTGCCCTTCTCTGCGAGGCGGCCGGCCGGCCGGCCGGAGCGGGGCGGGGGCCCGGCGGGCAAGGCCGGAGCTTGCAGGGGTCACCCGGAGCAACCACTGGGAAGCCCAGGCTGCCGAGGACGGCGCGGACGTAGGCTAGCGCATGCGCAGACGAGGCAGGCTCCGACGCAGGGTCTTCCCGCGGTGTGATTTGGGGCCGGGGCTGGGGGCGGCCGTAACGGGGATGGCGATTGGTCCAGATGTGTGGTGCCACCGGCCGCCGGCTCCGCCCCGACTCCCGCCTCTAGGGCCGATTCCCCAGAAGGCCTGGGGCAGCCTGACCAACCCCACCTTGCAAAACCAAAATTAGCCGCCCGGGAGCAAGGGCGTTCAGAGTCTTAGGGGAACTATGGAACCCTACCAGGAACAGCAGCAGAGAAAAGGGGGAGAAGTGCAAAAAGTTCCCAGTCCAGAGATCGGGAGTCTTCCTAATCACATTTTAAAAAAAGAACGCTGGCTCAGACAGAGAGGGTCTGTTAAAAGTCCCACAGGGAAAAAAAAACAGAAGTCTCATAGCCCCACCCACTAGTTCTACTTGTTTCTCACCTGTATGTTAAATTCTTGTGCAAAAACTCTCTCCAGACACGGCTAGAGACGGGCAGCCCAGAGACGTCTTTCTGTGGTCCCCCTACCCACACTTCCTATTCCTTGTCGTGGTGCCCTTTTCTTTTTTTTTTTTTTAATTTTTTTTTTTATTTATTTATGATAGTCACACACACACAGAGAGAGAGAGGCAGAGACACAGGCAGAGGGAGAAGCAGGCTCCATGCACCGGGAGCCCGACGTGGGATTCGATCCCGGGTCTCCAGGATCGCGCCCTGGGCCAGAGGCAGGCGCCAAACCGCTGCGCCACCTAGGGATCCCCTCGTGGTGCCCTTTTCATTAGAACATATGCAGGATGTTCCTGAGCTGTGCACACCCGAGAATGGCCCAAGCACCCTCAAAGGGCAGCTGACTGGAGGGAAGTTGTGTCTCTTTGAACTTAGACACGGCCTCCTTGCTGGGTCAGGAGAGTGGCCTCTGGTGTGAGCCCTCCTGGAGGCCAGGGGGCCCCGGGCTGGCTTCCTAACTGCTCTGTCTTCTCCCTGTCCTTGCAGGATCCCTTTGTGGCGTTCCACATCGACAAGGGCCTTGTGAGGAAGTATATGAACTCTCTCCTGATTGGAGAACTGTCTCCAGAGCAGCCCAGCTTTGAGCCCACTAAAAATGTGAGACTCTGTTGTTTGGAGATACTGTGGCTGTCTCCCCGCTAAAGGGCAGGGGGAGAAGGGAGGCCCAGATGAGATCACAGTTGATCACCGTCAGTAGTTCTTGCAAAGTCTTGAGATCCCTGTTTCTCCCAGTCACTGGAACACAGGCTTTGAAACCTTTGGCTCTCACAAGGCTATCACTACCACCACCACCACCCTCATCAGGACCTATCTGTTAAGCACTTACTATGTGTCCATCATAACCTCATATAATCCTCACACATTTACAGATGAGCAAACAAGACTCAGGGAGGGTGAGCAATGTGACCAAGAATCACACTATTGGTAAATGGCAGGGCAGGCAGGGACTTGAATCAAATCTGTTTAACTCCAAAGACCACATATTCTTAGACATGATCCCGTAGCACCTGTCCTCTTTCCTCAGTGCTGTGGTTTATTTATCTAGGATTGTGGACTCCCCACAGCTGTCTGGGGGTGGGAGGTCCTGGAGCCCAAGAGAGCCCTCTGTTTCCAACAGGGTTGGGTTACAGTTGGGAAAAATAAAGAGCCCCTCCCTCTTTACTCTTCCACAGAAGGAGCTGATGGATGAATTCCGAGAGCTGCGGGCCACAGTGGAGCGGATGGGGCTCATGAAGGCCAACCATGTCTTCTTCCTGTTGTACCTACTTCACATCCTGCTGCTGGACGTTGCTGCCTGGCTCACTCTTTGGTTCTTTGGGACATCCTTTGTGCCCTTTCTCCTCTGTGCAGTGCTGCTCAGCACAGTTCAAGTGAGAGCTCTTGGCTAGTCGAGCCCATAACAGTATTCAGCATCCTTGAATCTTTGGGGAAAGCTCTTTGTATGCCTCAGAAGGCCAAGGAGCTCTGCCCTGTGACCAGGGCAGCATCGAGGGTGTGGGGGAAGAGTTGATCATCTGTGGCTTTTACCTGCTCGGTAGCCACATGTGCACCATCATTTTGCTCACCGCCTCTCCAGCTGCTCCTCCAAGGGTTCCCTTCTTTCCGTGGAATTTCTCCGCTGAAACTTCACGTTCAGGTTTTGCCATAGCCTGAGTGTGCCAAGAACCAAGGTTCTGATTTCTCAGCAAAGCTTGGCTTTCTTCTCGCACATTGCCCAATGTGCTCATAAGGCTTGGGCCTTATCGGGACCCATTTGCCAAGCCTGCTACTCGCCTCTGAGTTTGTCACTCTGTCCTTTTTTGTAGTCTGGATATTCACTCCATCGTAAGTCCTTAAACTCCAGAGAGTTCTATGGGGAGGCTTCTAGGGAAACTGAAGAACAGGGAAAGGATGGTGATTTGTCTCAACTCTCATGTGAGTTAGTGGCAGAGCCAGTTAGGATCTACGCTTCCTGACTGCTTTCCTGATGTGCTCGAGTGACTGTGGCAATTGCAGTGCTAGGCAGATGAAGGAAGGGGTGAGGCAGAGGAGCCACAGAGGTGAGTGAGAGGGAGCCTGGGCCTGTGAGCCACTCTTAGCGTTAACCTTTCTCACCCAGGCCCAGGCTGGCTGGCTGCAGCATGACTTTGGGCACCTGTCTGTCTTCAGCACCTCTACCTGGAACCACCTGCTACATCATTTCGTGATTGGCCACCTGAAGGTCAATGGGACGGGGAGGGACTCTTGAAACTCATCAATGAAGGGTTTCCTTGGGGGGATGGGGAACATTAGACTTTCATACTCATGTCCCTGCTTTTCTGTAGGGGGCCCCTGCCAGTTGGTGGAACCACTTGCACTTCCAGCACCATGCCAAGCCCAACTGTTTCCGCAAAGACCCAGACATCAACATGCACCCCTTCTTCTTTGCCTTGGGGAAGATCCTCTCTGTGGAGGTGAGCAGAAATGTTAGTGGAAAGGTCTTGGAGAATGGGAGCCAGCCAGAACAGAGGGCTCTGGGGGAAATGATCACAATGCTATCCATGTGGATAAGACACTGGGACCAGGCTGGCTTGCTGGCAGTTGTGGGAGGCAGTAGATAAGCTGCCCAGGACAGAATCACCTATTCTCCCTAGTGAGTTCAAGGCAACAGTTATTGCATAAAGGTACTTCATGCTGCAAAGGAGCCGAAAGATGACCAGATTACCATGCAAATCTCTGTAAACCAAATTGATGGTCCTTCTTGGGAATGCTTTTTACATGTTCCTACCCCAGGCAGTCACCACCCCTCCCAACTTTGGAAAACTGCTGTGCAGTTTCCCCCATCAAGGGCTGGACCAACTGTTTTACTCTTCTTTGATGCTCGGTACCTGGAACATTGATTTGCTGAGTAATTCTTCCCACCCATCTGACTTCCAGGGTGGTCAGTGTTGAGTTTGAGTTACCACGTGAGGTTATGAGTAAAAATTGTAGTGCTGCTGCTAAAGGATGAATGCCTGAGGGTGGAGATCTGGAGAGCTTTCAGTGAACATAAGGCAATAGGAGGCTTTGAATGGGCGGAAGAGTTGCTTATAAAGTTACTTTAAAACCCCTTGTGCTGAGGCTCCAGGCTGTAGTCACAGTCCTGCCAGATCCCCCTCCTCCCACTGTATGATACGTCAGCATGCCAAGAATTCAGCTGTTCAAGACCTTTCCATTCAAGGCATGAGTGACTGCAAGGCAGCCTGGCTCTCCCCCTCTGGCTAGGAGGATTCTGGAAAGGCTTTACTGCATTGGCTGTCCTGGTGCCAGGAGCCCCTAGTTTGAAGCTTATGCCCCACCCTAAATTTCCTACCTCCCAAGCAAGGACTTGGTTTGCTACACGTCCAACACTGTGTTATGGTCAACAGTATTTGGCAATCAGTCAGCCCTGGCCCCTCCTGGTTCAGGTGGTTGTTTCAAGCCTGGTGTGGGCAATTTGTTAGGCAGAGTATATAGCTCTTGGTAGCACTTCTACTATCACTATAGAGGGTTAAAAAAAAAAAAAAAGGTGGGAGTTTAAGTGGGAGAGAACCTGCTCACACCACTACCTTATTGCTTCTTGATACTAGGGTTTTCAAAAACTCCTACCTGCAGACATTAAAAATTGAAAGTGATCTAGGACTAGTAGACATTTTTCTGCTGGAGGGTGGGTTGCCTATTAGTAAATGTCTTGGCTACAGGCTGCTTGGCCTTTGCTTCAGCTTCTCTGGGTAGTAATTCCAGGGCATCCATCTTGGTACCTTTCGAGTCTCCTGGAAAACAAGAAAACCCAGGGGACACCTCACCCTAAATACAAACTTTCTCTGTCCTTGAGTTGAAACATAATAGGGCAGTTATTAGCATCCTAATAGCATCTGATTGCCATTCAAGGAGGCAGCAGTGACTAGGGATCCCTTCCATTAACAGTTCCAAAATAGGAGGCCAGTGTTCTTCCCGCTCACCCCCACCAAACAAGACAGGTGCTCCTTTTCTGGTTTTCCCCTCAAAGTTTCTGGAGATGGGGTGAACTTCACCCAACATCTAGTCTATCAGCAAGCTTTGTTAATATGGTCTCCAAAACATCCCAAGTCATTGACTTCACCATCTCCACTGCTTCCCATGCATCTCAGAGCCTGATTACTGCTCCAGCCTCTTCACTGGTCTCCCTGCAACTATACCTCCCCCTACAGTTCATTCCCTCCTCCTCCAGGCAGAGTGTGCCTTTCAAAGCACAAAGCCCTCCAGTGGCTTTCCATCATCATGGGAATAAAACCCTTGCTCCCAAGGTCTTACTGGGGCTCTCTAAGGACCAGTGTGAATTGGCCATCCCTAGTTTTCCAGCCTTATCAACCATTCTCCCCCATTGTTTACTATTCCCGTCCGTACTGCCCCTTCTGTCCCTTAAACTTCCTGAGCTTTGTACCAGGTGTTCCCTCTGTATTAAATGCTCTTCCTCTGAATGTCTGCTTTATTGGCTCCTTATTCAGTTCTCAGATGTCAACACTCAGAGCGACCATATCTGACCAACCTAACCAAAATGCTGCCTCCCTCACTTTGTCTTGTTTTCCTATTTTAAATCTATAATTACCTTTTTCTTTTTCTTTTTTTTTTAATTCATGAGAAACACAGAGAAAGATGGCAGAGACATAGGCAGAGAGAAGCAGGCTCCCTGCGGAGAACCTGATGAGAGACTTAATCCCAGGACCCTGAGATCACGCCCTGAGCCTCAGGCAGATGCTCGACTGCTGAGCCACCCAGGCATCCCTTACTTTGAGTTCTGTTCACAAGTTTATCACCAGCTTCCTCTCCTCAGACTATAAGCTCCGTGAGGGTAGGAACTTTGTTTTGTTCACCTCTGTATCTTCAGCACGTAGAGCATTGCCTGGAACATCATAGGTGCTCAATAAATACTTGTTAAAATTACTCAGTTTATAGAAAAGAATGCTTCATTTAGCAGAAATACCTTACACAGAATAAACTCTCAATAAAGAAGAAGAAATGTTATTATGAAAAACAGTGGGTGGATGCACAAAAGAAAGATGAGCTATCATTCTACTTGAGTAGAGTGCCTCCTATGCTCTGGGGTCATCTGGTTATCAGAACTGACTGGGGCAAGAGGAACAGGACCCATCCAGTAAGACAGCAGAGCTTTGCTGTCATGATTTTGTGTGCCCATGCTAGGTGTTCGGGCTGACTGACTTGGCAGCACCAGCCTCTCTCTTCAGCAGCTAGGCTTACAAAATAATCACTACCCACTGGGAAAAGCCTTATCAGAACCTTTGGACTGCCAAGTTGTTCTTGGTATCCTTTCCACAAATATTTGCCAAACTTGACTTAAAATTCAAGGAATTTTGTAAAGTTCATGTGGTAGACCAAAAGACAAAACCAAAAGAGGGTCTAGTTGGATGGATGTCAAGGGAATACTGACCTGTGTAGGGGTATAAATGGTTGTCTGTGGAGATTCTGAGGTCAAAAAAGTACCAGATGGGTGGGGTGCCTGAGTGGCTCAGTTGATTGAGCGTCCGTCTTGTTTTCAGCTCAGGTCCTAATCTGGGGATCCTGGGATGGAGCCCCACTTCAAGCTCTATGCTCAGCGGGAAGTCTGCTTGGGATTCTCTCCCCCCTCTGCCTGTCCCCTTCCCCCCACCCACTCGTTCTCTAAAATAAATAAATCTTAAAAACTACCAGATGGGGAAAAAGGGATGTGGAGAGGCCTGGGAACCTTATGACAAATGTGTCTTTGGATGAACATGAGGAGTCCTGAGGACCTGTAGACCCTGTTGTGCTCATGCCTCATGTGAGCCCTCATGCACTAGGTGCTGAGGTAAGGCCAGGGCTGTTGGAACATTCTAATAACAGCACCAAAAAGCTAAGCTGACAGCTGCTGGAGTAGGCCTAAGCTGAGCAGGGAATAGCCAAGATCACAGGGGGAGGGGAATGGGGTGATTAGTCTGTGGGCACTGATTTGTGTTGCTTTTCTTCACAGCTTGGGAAACAGAAGAAAAAGTACATGCCATACAATCACCAGCACAAATACTTCTTCCTGAGTGAGTGTCCTCATCCCACATAGGGAGACTCTCTTGGGATGGGGGTGCTGAAGGGATGTGAGGAAGAAATGACTTTCTGAAGGATTATGGTATTTAAGTAGAGGCTGGAGGAAGTACCCTGGCCCCAATTGGTTACTCCCTGCTCAGGAACAGACTACCATCTCAGTTGAGCAAGGTTAACCGGCTAATTCCCTGTCAGGGGTCATTTGTATCGAGGTAAAGTTCTACCCTGGCTTCCACAAGAGCACTGAGTCCAGCCATCCTGATTAAACTTTAGCCTTGTAAAATGGGATGGCATTAGGGAGGCACCATTTTTTCAACTCCTAATTTTAAGAGAAGCCCTCTGCCCCTTCCCATACCTGCCCTCCAGGGCTTCAGGTTGGGTGGTGCAAGCTCATTTCCCTGATCTGAAGAAGTGAGCTTTCTGCCTGTAAAGCATCAGGAGGGTCCCCCACCCCCAGCCCCACCCCAGCACACACACACTGTCCTGCTCCTGTCCCTTCACCTTAATGGCAGGCCAGCCAGGAACACAGGGCAGGTGACTGCAAGGACGGGCAGGGGCAGGCCTGTGGCCAAGGAACATGGGGAGAATTCAGTGCCCCAGCTGCTTGCTTTCACTGGAAAAGAATGCCACTCCCACCCTTACCCTCCTGGCATTCTCTTGGGAGGTTCTGCCTTCTTCAGACTTGCATTCATGCTTACCTTCAGCACCTGCCAGTTCCAAGGGATCGAGGAATGCCAAGGCAGCTGGAAGGGGCCACAGGAAGGGATGGCAGGGGGGCAACACCATGCCAGAGGCTGTCCCTTAGGCACTGACCCCCCCTTGTGCTGCTCACATCTCCCTCCTGCCTCTATTTCCTTCCCAGTTGGGCCCCCAGCCTTGCTGCCTCTCTACTTCCAGTGGTATATTTTCTATTTTGTTATCCAGCGGAAGAAGTGGGTGGTGAGTATCCACAGCCCCCGAGTTGCACATCCTTTGTCTTCACAACTTTGAGGGGAATGGGGGTTCTCCAGAGGAAAGCCCACTGAGATCTACTCCAGGCCTAATTTAGAGCAAAGTTAGTTGAACTTGAGTATAGACCTTCCTTGTCTCTAGATGGGATGATCTGGATTTACCAGACAGCCTGACCCCGATGCCATATTTCATTTTTTAAAAGATTTTCAAAAATTCATACATTTTGAGAGAGTGCACACGAGAGGGAGATTCTCTTAGACTTGGCACTGAGCAGAGAAGACCAGGCTTGATCCCACCACTTTGATCATGACCTGAGCCAAAACCAAGAGTCGGATGCTCCACGGACTGAGCCACCCAGGCGCCCCCAATGGCCTATTTCATTCAGCCTGTATCTCCTGAGGCTTTTGTGCTTGGCATAAAGCCAGGAGCCAGGCTTGGGAAGAGATAGAAGCAGGTGGTTCTGGGATTCCAAAAGGGCCCTGCTTGCCTCTGGCTTGAAGAGAGGCATCGGAAAAGGCTTTGTGAAATTACTTTTCTAGCTGGCCTTGGAGGACAGGCAGAGGTGGGCTAGGGAGAGGACTCTGACCAGAGAAGCTGGGAAGTCAGGGGCAATTTTAGCCACTGGACATGTTGTGGACTCATGTCAGGGGAGAATTGTGGTACAGAAGAGTGCCTGGAGGTTTGATCAGGGGACTGGCACGGACAGCCGCTGTCCTGGAAGATTTGTTTGGCAGCGTAATGAAGGCATAAAGAACTTAGATGGGGGCAGCCTGGGTGGCTCAGCAGTTTAGCGCTGCCTTCAGCCCAAAGCGTGATCCTGGAGACCCGGGATCGAGTCCCACGTTGGGCTCCCTGCATGGAGCCTGCTTCTCCCTCTGCCTGTGTCTCTGCCTCTCTCTCTCTCTGTGTCTCTCATGAATAAATAAAATATTAAAAAAAAAAAAAAAAGAACTTAGGTGGGTTGGGAGGAGCTGGAGGCAGAGAGGCCCTGCAGGCTTTGCCACCTGTGAAGGGAACAAGGAAGGAGGACTGGGGGCTACCACCAGGAACGTAAGTGGTGGCACTAGATATTGCAGATCGGGCAGTGAAGAAAAGCGGACAGTGATGGAGGCTTCAGTCTGGGTCCCTGGCAGAATGGCCGTACCATGCAAATAAGCGAAGTGAAAGGAAGAGGAGGAAGTGCTTTGTGCCAGCCTGCCTCTCTGCCTCTCAATGCAGGACTTGGCCTGGATGATCACCTTCTATGCTCGCATCTTCCTCACTTACGTGCCATTGTTGGGACTGAAAGGCGTCCTGGGCCTTTTCTTCATGGTCAGGTAGTATTTGACAGGGCAGGAGGGATGGCGAAGAAAAGCAGGTGTTTGGGAGTCCCGAGTCTGGTCTGGGGGCTGTGCCGGGGATTTCGGCAGCAGGGGATGTTTCAGCTGTTAGCTTAGGAAGATGGCCAGGCTAGAGAGCTTTTTATCTGTACGGTTTTTGTCTGTGTGCCATATCCACCAGGTTCCTGGAAAGCAACTGGTTTGTATGGGTAACACAGATGAACCATATCCCCATGCACATTGACTACGACCGGAATATGGACTGGGTCTCCACCCAGGTAAGGGACGGTCACCTGGAAGACCTAGGGATAATAAAAATGGTGGGTGGGCACAGGGGCAGACTAAGGGGCAAGGGCAGTAACATAAAAGCCCCCAAACAGCACCACCTTATTAGCCTGAGGCTTCTCCTGCTACCCTGTGGAGAAGGGAGTGACCAGGGACAGTCCCACACCCCTCCTCTTAGCCAGCTTGGCCTTTCCATCCGGCATCCAGACACATCCCCTCCCCGGCCTTCTTCCTCCAGCTCCAGGCAACATGCAACGTCCACAGGTCTGCCTTCAACGACTGGTTCAGTGGACATCTCAACTTCCAGATTGAGCACCAGTGAGTAGGGGGACCTGAGAAGCAGGGTCCTTGGGAGGGTCCCTGTGGGGCAAGCAGGGATGTGGAAACTGGAGTAGGAGCCACTGACTATCCCATTCTCCTTGAAGTCTTTTCCCCACAATGCCTCGACACAATTACCATAAAGTGGCTCCCCTGGTGCAGTCCCTGTGTGCCAAGCATGGCATAGAGTACCAGTCCAAGCCCCTGCTCTCAGCCTTCGCCGACATTGTCTAGTGAGTACCTGAGCCTGGGAAGATGGTTGGGGGGGCCAGGGGGGGCAAGCCATGGGGTTGGTGATGTGTGGGGTGGGAGCAAAAGGCAGGTTTCCCAATCCTCTGGAATGGAGGCCACCAAGACAGGCAGGTGCTGTATTGGTCTTGCGGTTGTGGCCCAACCTATTTCTCAGAAGCAAAGGGGAGAAAGAGGGCCATATGCCATGGAGATCGGTCTCCATTCCTCTCTGAGAGCCTCACTACTCCATGTCTATAGGGTGCTTTGGCTTTGGGCTTGGCTATGCTCTCTCACTTCCTGCTCCTATCTTGCCCCCACAGCTCACTGAAGGAGTCTGGGCAGCTCTGGCTAGATGCCTATCTTCACCAGTAACAACAGCCCCCACCCCCATCTGTAAGAGACGCCTATCTTCACCTATAACACCAGCCTGTCTGGAAGAGGCGTTTCTGGCACCAAAACAGAGGGGAGTTTGAGGGACAATGCCACTGCAATTCTAATATTCAGAGGTGGGGGGTGGGTTTGAGGAGGTAAAAGCTCAACTCAAACCCTTCCCCTTTATCTTCTAGGCACAGATCTAAGACCCAAGGGGCTGGGGGACACACAGCCCCCTAGAGGGGAAGGGATGGAACTACTGGGGCAGAGATGTGCGAGTTTAGTTTCCTTTTTCTAGTTTGGCAGATGCAGATGGTTGGTGAGGAAAGGAAGGGGATCTACCTAGCCCAAAAATCAGTAAGAGATTTAGCATTGAAATTCCAGCCAGGAAAGGGGTGAGCCCATCTCACTGGTCTGCTTCTTAGTGCCTTCTACACCCTCCACTATCTGAGGAGATAGAATGGCTGAACCTTCTGAGTAAGATTTCTATTCTATTTGAAGCCTGGCATAGTACACGGTCTGGGAGGCTCAGCTCACTCTAGGGCTAGGTGGGACCTAGATCTGCCTCTAGCTCCTGGAGAAGCAATTTTCCCACTTCTAGTAGCAGTTAGAGTAAAGCCAGGATTGCAGTGCTAGAGACCTCTGACTTTGAAGGATCTTGGCACTACCGATTTTGAACTTATGTTCCATCCAGGGCACCGAGAGAGCATTTAGGTCCTAAGTCTTGCAAAAACAGCAAGAAGAGTGGCTGGCTTTGGGTCACCTCTTGTAAGCACCACCCAAGGAATAAGACGTTCATAGGATGAGGAGTCCACTTCTTGATCCATAAGTGAACAGATGGGGGAACTTCATCTCTTCCCTGGAAAAAAAGGGGGTTCCCAGTGGTTTCCCTTTGTCATCTTCCCTGTAATTCCAAGTTTAACAAAGTAGTTAGTTGGCACAAGTGACCATGTTGGGAGACCCTGAATTACCAGTCATGAGGAAAAGGAATTTAATTCCTTAAGAGTATAGGGGGGTTGTTAAGAGATTTTCTACAACCTAAATGATTTTAGGTATTACTTCTGAGTAGGAACAGTGAATTAAATATAATCACTTCACAGTTCTAAACCAGAGATAGGAAGATAAAAACAAGTTTGTGAACTATCAACTCTGTTCAAGCATCTTCTCGGCTGGACACCAGGTAGGAATTTAGAATAATCTCTTTAAAAAGCCTATCAGTCTAATACTGAAATACAGTTTTTAAAAAAATTTCCAGGTTTTTAAGCCCTCCCATGCAGGTGAGGGAGCTATTTCCCTGTTCATCAGCATCTACTGTAAGAATATTGAGCATTTTGGATACAGAGAGGAGAAAACTCAAACCTAGAAGGCAAAAAAGAGAGCCGTAGAAGAGTCCATATTTAGTTTTAGGAGAGAATAAAGGTCATCTGAAAACAAGTTGTGATGGGGTCAGAGTTATCACCCGTGGAACGGCTGTTGGGATTACTTACAGATTTGTCAGAACAAAGATTAAAGGGATGACAACAGGGGCAGGACCGGTTACGAAAGAGTTCAGATCTCCATTTGGGCAGAACATGGTTTGAAACAAATTAGGAGTGGAATTGGAAAGTTCTATTTTCATTGGCTTCCTCACCCCAGAACAGGTACTGACCTGCCCCAACCCCTATCCCCTGCTACCTAAGGTTTCGGGGTCACCAGCCTGTAAAGCCAGTAAGGCTCACTGAGCCAAGTCCAGGCCCTCAAAGTACTTTAACCACTGTGGCCTTCTCTCCTTCACCTAGACCAAAGTGGTCTCACATGGCCACAGAGGGATGCACCAATGATGTAAAAGGCTGAGACTGTTTTTAACAGTCAGGGCAGTGATCTCAAATCCAAGCCGTTATGTGAGAAAACAGGCTTACGGAGGACAGGTCACAGACTGTGGCAAAGCTTACATTTGAACTCAGTGTTTTAGAATTCCAACCTACATGTTTATCTTTGTTACTTTCATCTTCGCACCCCTTTACCAAAAGCATTTTCTTTAATTATGCCCTACATCTGTATCCTTTCTGGGTGTGCCAGTTTTGTTACCACATCCAGATGAGGTAAAGCTGAAAAATAAAGTTAATTTTGATCAAATGAAGGCTATTCACTTGTAATCCATGATGTTCTTGTGCCCATGTCAACGACCACCCCCACCCCCCACACTGTAAGTTACTACCTACCTCTATGGCTGGAACTTTCTGATCAGGAGTTCCCAGACTCTCCCCTTTGCACAAGGCCTTTGGGCAGAGGAATAACAGGATTGTCCAAAAGAACACCAAGGCACAGGGAGACTATGGCAAGGAAAAGGAAAGCCAGCCCCTTGTGACCCCTAGAAAGCCAGATGCTATCTCCTACTACCACGAGGCAACACCCTCACCCTTTTGACCTTGTTTCTAGCCTCAGTACAAGTAGTCCCCTAAAAGTCTCCTTTTTGCTTGAACCATTGCAGGTTCAGTGTTCAGAGATGGACTGCAAAGCAATGCCTTTTAAACCTTGATCCAACTAGAACAGCTCCCTTTGAGCAAGAACATTAAAATGAGCTAGGAAAAAATTTGCAGAAGTGGTTTTCCCTGCAGTGTGCAGTGGTTAATAAACTTCTAGGAAAGACCAGACAACTTAGCATGAAAAGACAAGAGGAAAACCACTCTACACGTCTGACTCCCACAGGGTATAAGCCCTTAACTAGAGCCACAACACTGAGGCCATCACTCCCTAAGACCTCTTTCCACTTCTGGGCCCTGTCATCATTACCACAGGCTTAGAAATACTACTTGGCGCTCTCAAAAGTTATGTGGCTCGGTCCAGTTGGAGAAATCCGTTTCACTGAACTGCTGGATATAGCAGTGAACAAAACCAAGATCCCTGCCCTCAGAATAGAACTTTGTCTACACCAATGGTTTTTCAGAGTCCCCTAATTATAAGAGCGATGCTGGGGAGACTGTCCCACTCTTGCTTCAACCAGACCAGCTCTTATATCCTGAGATTCCACGTAAGATTTCACTTAAAATACAGATTGCTCCCTTAGAAATTTTAAAAACCACCAGCTTCAGTCATTTACCCACTTAATCTGTTAGAACACTGCAGCTTAAACTTCGAGATGGCTTCAGGGTCTCTGTTAACCTCAAACGGCAGTGATAGGAATGCTAAAAAATCAGACTCCCCACAAGTTTTACCAGGATAAAAGAACTTTTAAAACATTCCATCTCTATGGGAAACAGCAACCTGGATTTGATGTCACAAAAGGAACACAAAAGTGACTTTTTAAGTGCAATTTTTTCACGATTTATAAATTAGTAAGGTAAATGCTTGAATGAAGTAGATCAAAATAGTGAAGCTTTTCTCAAAGTAGCTTCTTTATCTCACCCAGTGGGTTGGAAACTAGAAACCCATTCAATTTATTAAAAATTCTTTTCTAGTAAGTTAAACTAGGCAGGCATCCTCCTCCAAATGGCTTAAAGCACGGCCAAAGCTGCTTTGCCAGTCTATGGAGTGTGGCGCCATCTTGTGGCCACTCTCAAACCTCTTGTAACTACAATTCCAGGGTGTTCTCTTCAGTGTGGAAAGAACATTACATATCGCCTGAATGAAGCCTGGAGGCACTTGGGATGTTTTCAAATGTTCTCAGAGAATATGACATGCTGGTTACTTTTACAGTTTTATTGACTCTTTTCTCAACCTTTAAAACAAAACAGCACACGAAAACAGCATCTTAATCTCAAAGTCTCAACTCAGCTGACTGCCTCAGAGAGGACACTAGAATTTCGCCGTCTTTTATGTTTAAGTAACCATTGTGAAGACTCAAGTTACAGAGCAAGTTCAAGTTTCTGCCCACCACAGGACACATAGCCAGTAATTAGACCCTTGTTGCCAACCCCAGGGACGCCAGCTCGTTCTACCTGTCTTAGCTCTCAGCAGCTCCCCTCATCTGGCAAAGACTGGGTCTTTGATGGCTGTCGTATGGGGTGGATCAAGGCTGAGCCGGAAAGAAGTACATTCTGGTTCCAACACCCCCTCCCATCTGCCAGTCGGCCAGCCAAGAAATCATTTTTTTGTCCAGTCTGCTGTCTCTACCATTTATCTCCCACTCCCTCTTCAAAACTTGTTGCTATCACTTTTATTTAACAATAGATTCAGTGTCCGTTAGATTGCCTGAGAGGTGTTTTGAGCCTGACATGCTTTCCTGAGCTAAAAAGGAAGAAAACAAAGTTGCTCTGTAGCGTTCCTGTTGTAAAATCAAGGACAAAAGGGAAAAGCACTACTTTTCAGCACTACTGAAAAGGGTAGAGTTAGAGAAGCAATGCAATCCCTCCTTGCCCCCAGAGGTTTCTCTAGTGCTAGCTCTTGAGGGTACCATAAGGCAGATACTCTGGGGTCAAGGAAGTATGAGGGGAAACTCCTTTATTTTCCCCTTTTGAACTTCCCTGCTACCCCAGTCTTTGCCTTCTTCTTAGCAGATCCCTTGGGCTCTGGCTCCTTGCGCTTAGCTGAAGAGAGAGAGCCAGTCACCTTGAAGAAATCATCCAGGCGGCCCTGGGTGCTGCCTTGGCGGCTCTTGCTCAGCCGCCTGACCCCACTGCGGATTCGCTCCTCCGAGAACTGCTTTTCCCCACACATGAACTTGACAAGCTCCTCTTCATTGGGCTCACTCCACTTCAGCTCCACAGACTCTGGGTCAAGCACCTCGGGCTCCAGGAAGAGCTGCTGGGCCTCCTTGTGGAGCCAATTTTCTGGCACAGGGTACTTGTTGGGGTCAAGTCGACGCACAATCTCCTCAATGCTCTTGTGCTTCTGGATGAGATCCACAGCCCGCTTGGGCCCAATGCCCCGAATGCTCTCACAGTAGTCACTGCCCAGCAGGATGCACAGATCTACAAATTGCTCCTGGTTCAGGCCCAGCTCCTGCAGAATCCGGTTCAGGTGGAATTCCTGGATGGGCAGCTTCTTGGCCTCACTGGCAGTCAGGTGCCGCATCAGCACAGGGCTGCCAAAGGTCAGGCAATCCATGTCCTCAGTGGCCGCAGCATAGACTTTGCCAGCCTTCACTAGGGCAGCACAGCTAGCCTCAGCCTCACTGGGCGCATCAAGGTAGGGGATGCCCATGAGGCTCAGTAGGTGCTTGCACTCATCGTTGTGTTGCTTGGTGACCTTCACCAGCCTCTTAGTAAACTTTTCCACCTCCTCCTCGGCCCCAGCAGCCTGAGCCTGCTGCAGCTGCTTCTCTGCCTCAGCCCGCCGCTCACTGCGTTTGGCCAGCTCACCTGACTTGAGCTGTGGTGGCTTGCCATCAAAGACATACACGGGCTTAATGCCATTCTCCATCATGCGGATGGTGCGGTAAAACATGCCCATCAGGTGACTGGTAGTCTCACCCTCCTCATTCTGCAGCACATCCCCACCCTGGCGAACAGCAATCAGGAATTGATAAATGCTCATAGAGGCATCAATAGCCACCTTGCGGCCAAAGTAGCTCTTGATGTCATTCTCCCGGATGGCACTGGGGGCCACATCAGCAATCAGTTTCGCCAGGCCTTGAATTCCCATAGCAATACAGAGGAGGGGCAGCTAAAAAAGAAAGGAGTAAAGTAAGAAGGGGAGGCGCTTAAAGGTTGCAAAGGATCAAGGGTTATAACTGGTGCCATCTCAGCAACTTCATGCCTTCAACTGAACAAACTTGAGTACGACAAAAAGGATGCCAATTTGGGACCGCAGAAGATGAAAAGATGAATGAGACAAGGTCACCTTCTGCAAAAAATACTTATAGTCTAGCAAGGAAGCCCTTGCCAGGGTAACTCAATTAATACTAAGGCTTCCTGAGTATGGGGGGGGGGCGGTGGGGGGAACTGGGTGTTAAGAGGAATAAGATACTAATGATGTCAAGAGACTTATGGTTTTGTGGCTAAGGCAGCAACAGGGCTAGTGTGCAGTAAGGGCTACCACTGGCTTGGGCATCAGGGACACTGCAGGTCCAGAGGAGGGTGCCCAGCCTGGCCTGAGGCGCCCAGGGATCATAATGACAGAACCAAGCCCTGAAGAACAAGCAAATATTGGCTGAACAAAGATGACAACTCAAGCACAAAAGCAACCATGATACAAGGCTGAATGTGCACAATAGTAAAATAAATACGAGTATCTACTTGCCAATTTGCTGACAACTCATACATTCCTCCTCTGTACCTTTCTGCCAGTCATTGAACATCCCCAACTAATGCCTCTGGCTCCCTGCCACTTCACAGCTGTGACAGTTTTATGTCCCAACTAGGCTAGGCTAAGGCATGTAGTTATTTACTCAAAACACTAATCCAGTTGTTGCTGTGATGGTATTTTGGGACATCTATCATCAGTTGACTTTAAGCAAAGGAGATCATCCTTCATTATACGGCTGGGCCTCATTCACTCAGCTGTAAGGCCTTGGGAGCAAAAGCTGAGATTTCCCAAAGAAATTCGGCCTGAAGACTGCAGCATCAACTCTTGCATGAGTTTCTAGCCTGAGGTCCCGCCTGATCATTTTCAACCTTGCCAACCTCTACAATTACCTGAGCCACTTCCTTAAGATAAATCTCCTTATATATGTCCACATCCTATATCTTACTGTTCCTCTGGAGAACCCCGACTCATGGAGTAGCCTTGAAGGAGGACTGGCAAAGAACATCATATCTGGACAGGAGTTATGTGGCTTTCTCACAAGCTCCCTTCAGTATCCCCTCAATACGGTGACTGGTTTCTACTTCTACTGTGATGTTGCTAGGAGTTTTAAGGCTTTCCCTTTGTATTTTCTCTCCACCACTAAGTCTGAAATGTGAACTCATGGCTCCTACTAGATCCTAGGTCCCAATCTAGGAACCCGGCAAGCTGTAGTGGCTGAGTCCCGTACTGCACTTCTGTGGTTCAGGCCCCTAGACAAATTATTTCCTAGGGTAGTGTTTCCCGAAATTCGGTCACACCCAAATCACCGTCACAATTTCTTGCCATTTCCATGTAAAACCTGTACTTTCATTCACCTAATATTTTTTTTTAAATGGACACCGTGGTTTTAAAAATGAAAGTAAGGGACACCTGGGTGGCTCAGGGTGTGATCCTGCGGTCTCAGGATCGAGTCCCACATCAGGCTTCCTGCCTGGAGTCTGCTTCTCCCTCTGCCTACATCTCTGCCTCTCTCTTCAGTGTCTCTCATGAATAAATAAATAAAATCTTAAAAAAAAAAAAACCGAAGGTAAGTCGAAAAAGAGAACTCAAGCAGTGTGTGCTGTATCAGTTACATTTTAATGCGTTGAACGTATAACTATTAAAAAGGATTTTTTGAAAAAAAAAATAAATAAAAATAAAAAGGATTTTTTGGGTGCCACTTAAAGTCATCGCGTGCCCACTGGTGTTATGTGTCCAATACTCCCAAGAAATGTTACACTAGATCTTTTCGTTGCTCCCACTTTTCAAGGGGCTCTTTCTTTTTTTTTTTATTTTTATTATTTTTTTTTTAAATTTTTTTTTTTTTTTTTTTTTTTATTTATGATAGTCACACAGAGAGAGAGAGAGAGAGGCAGAGACACAGGCAGAGGGAGAAACAGGCTCCATGCACCGGGAGCCTGACGTGGGATTCGATCCCGGGTCTCCAGGATCGCGCCCTGGGCCAAAGGCAGGCGCCAAACCGCTGCGCCACCCAGGGATCCCTCAAGGGGCTCTTTCTAAAGCGTAAGTGACCTTGCTACATACCCCCTTCTACCTAAGTCCAAACACCTCAACCCGGCATCAAGATCTTCGTGCTCTGCCTCCCAACCTACCTTCACAGTCTGGGGGCCAACACAAAGGATGGGATAAGACCTGCCCTTTCTCACTGTTGCTCAGCCGTGCCCTTCCTCCCGCCGTCCTCTAACTCCTGCCATACCCTGGGGGCTCGCATCCATACAGTCGATCCTCTGGGTCCAGCTTCAGGCTGGCTGTTCTGCTAGAAGGCGTCCCGAGGGGTCAGTACCTGCTGGCCGGCTGGCCTCCCACAGCCCTCCAACACTGGGAGGCGGGAAAGGGGTCTAAACCAGTGAAGTCCCCAAAATGTTCCTCGTCCAGATCTCGGTCAAAATACACAACGGCCCCACAAAGTGGAAGCTATTTCCCTCCTTCCACAAGTGAAGCACGGGGCTCAGAAGTTAAGCGACCGACCCAAGTCGCACTGCGGGAGGGTGGCGAGCCCGCGCTCTGGCCTCCGCCCCACGCGCGACAGACGGCCCCCCACAGCACCCAGCGCGAGGCGGACCCGCCGCCCTCGGAGGCGCTGCCCATGGGGCCTCACCTGGCCTTTGCGGCGCGAGGCCTCCACAGCTACTGCTCAGTCCGGTGCTGCCCAGGACAGTGCTCAGGCCCTCGCCGGCTTCAACTCCGCCGCAGACCCAGTCCCGCTCCGCCGCCTTCCAAAGCCCGCGCTCCCGTCACGTGACCCGCCGCCGCGCATAGCCTCCCGGGAAGTGTAGTGCACGCCCCGACCCCTCGGCCAGTTCCCCTTGTGGCAAACAGTCCCGCCGGGGCGAATGAACCCCCTCAGGGGATCTACCCTACCCTTCTCCATCGCTTGCCCCAGCTCTACATCAGGCGCCCACAGGCACTAGCCCCTGCTACACCCGAACCCACAGGACTACAGATCCCACAATGCCGCTCGCGCGGGTGCACTTCCTCTTCCGGCCGAACAGAGCGCCTGCTCCTGCCGACGTGTTATTCCGGTGGCGGAGCGGTGGATGACCCTACACCTGGCGAAATGGTGAGAGAGTCGAGGGGCGTCCCGGACGGGCCTGTGAGGACCCCTCGGGGCCCGTCCCACATTCCATTTCTCTCGCAAAGGCCTCAAACGGCCGAGATCCAGATAGCGGGAGGCTCCTGTATCTTCCGGCTCAGGCTGAGGGGCGGGAAGGGAAGCCCCTTGCCATGGACTCGTTAGGCTGAGGTTTCGAGCTCGCGACTTTTAAGGGTGAGCCGTGTGAGGTGCATTTTAATACCTGGAGCTTTTATCTGTTAGCTGTGATTAAGCTCTTATATCTGTTTGGGAGGTTCTTCCTCTTGCTGAACTCGTACTCATCCTACAAGGCCCAGGGCCGATGTCGCCTTCTTGGTGAAGCACGTCCAGCTCTCCCAGGCACTTGGCCGCTCTCTCCCGGGAGCTCCCACAACCTCTGTACAGACTTCTTGCCGCATGTCATGGACTTCTTTGTTATCTGCCACGCCTCGGAGTGACCAGCATCTGACGTGCCTCTAGCTCTGGGACGATGTCTATTCATCTTTGTATTCCCCAGTGCCAAACACAGGGCCTGCAACTGGAGGCCCAGTAAATGGCAGCGATTGTCTTTATCATGTTTAGGGAGGCATAAATGTTTACTGAATTGAATTCCAGTGTCTCTTAGGACAATGGGGTCAATTTATTTCTCTAGAGTTGTTATGTTCTGGATTTTAGGAGCATTGGCTGGTGAGTGACAATGGAAGTTAACATTTGTCCAGAACTTTACGTTTACAGCCCTCCTTCACAAGCATTATCTCATAATCTTCCCTGTAAGCTCAAAAAGGAAACAAACACCTTTTGAGCAACTACTCTATGCCAGGAAGTGAGCTAGATGCTTTGACGCTTCGACATTGGTCATCTTTCTTAAATCATACATCAGCCCTATGAGTGGTGTTGTTATGACTACTTTACTGAGATGCATGTTACTCAGTAGAGCCAGATTATTAACTGAAGGCTTTGGCCAATAGATCCTGAGATTCCATAATAGCCCACGGTGAAGAATGCAGATGTAGCAGTTGAGATTGGGTCCTAGCCCAGGCTCGGAATTACAGCAGGATTCTGAGCTTGGGGTCCACAGACAAGGGTCCATACAGCTCCTAAAATTAGAGACAAACTTCTTGCTTGTGGTTTACCCTGGGCAGAGTCCATACCTTTTCTCACATGTTTTTTAATAGTCTCCAGGGGTCTCAAAAAATGTTAGGAACCGCTGGTTGATAGCTAATCGATCACCTTCTGTGTCAGCATCTGACCCTCAGCTGCCCTTCTTGTCTCATATTGAAAAAGCAAAGTATCACCTTAGTTTTAAGATGTCATTGTTGTCATTTCCAAATGGGGTTGCTTGATGTTGGTTCCGAGGGACTTCTATATTTCCCAGGCTGAAACAGACCTATAGCAGTCCTAGCAGGAGGAGGCTCCTTGATGACCTCACATTCCCCATTCCCAGGTTGAAGTCTTGGGATTCTTTGATAGCTCTGATCTCATACCTTCCCTTAGGAGCTCGAGGCCATGAGCAGATACACCAGCCCAGTGAACCCTGCCGTCTTCCCCCATCTGACCGTGGTGCTATTGGCAATTGGCATGTTCTTTACCGCCTGGTTCTTCGTGTATCCTTTTACTGAGCAGCCAGTGGGCCTGAATTAGCGAAGTGGGAAACCTCCCTGCCAGTTTTGCGCTGGTGTGGGGGTAAAGGGAAGGGAAGGAGTTGAAGGAAAGCTGCTGAGGTTCAAGGTCGGGTGGTGGCCTGATTTCCCAAACTCAGGTGAACTCAATTTGCTCTTCAGATTCCCAGGATGGTGACAGAAGGCTTGGCTGGACTGGAGGTGGGGGATAGGGGATCTGAAATCGGGAAAGTGGTCAGAGAAGGGTGTGCTCAGGCAGTGGGAAATCCGAGGGCTAGTGTCAGTCCACACTGGCTATGTGACCTGGGGCAAGTGACCTAACCCCTCTGGACCTGATTTTTTTCATGGTGGTTGAGAGCTGGTTTGAAGCAACAGAATGCAAGTTGTCTCTCAGGTCCCTCTTCCTGGCTACACTGAGGCAGGCAAGCCTTCTAGAAAGCCCTCAGCCCATACTTTTTTCCTAGAGCTGCACTGGGCAGCTTCCTGTCCTATGCAGTCCATCCCTTTGCTTCTCCTTAATCACCCTGCCAGTTATGAGGTCACCTCCACCAAGTACACTCGGGATATCTACAAAGAGCTCCTCATCTCCTTGGTGGCCTCACTCTTCATGGGCTTTGGAGTCCTCTTCCTGCTGCTCTGGGTTGGCATCTACGTATGAGCTCCCAAGGGTAAGAGCTGTGACAGGGTGGGCACTAGAGAACTTTCCCATATCCGTGTTGGCGGGTTCCTCAGGCCTCTGTGACACTTTGGTGACAGACCCAGCAGAGTGGATAGGGACACCAGATGTGTGTGCCTCTTGGCTTGTCCCTAATGGGGATCTGTGACCTCGTCTTATTCTAAGTTCTGCATGTTGCCCAGGGTCTTGAGTTGGCTTTGAGATACACACTTCACAGGGCCATGGGCACAGGCTTCCCATGTGAGCCATTTGCATTCTTACACATCATACACCATTGACCGGCAAGGCTGCTTGGGAATGGGTTAGGAGTCAGAATCTGGGACTTACAGCTTGCTGCAAGGAGTACTATTGTGGTTAATTTGAATGTTTTCAGGCATTAATAGAAATCTTGACTAAGTGATTAAAAAAAAAAAAAAACCCAAACCCTTGGTGCAGATAATCCACTAAACAGGTCACTAAGAACCTGCTTTGGTGGCTCAGCTTCAGAGTACATGCCCATCAGCCCTAGCACCGGGAGCACAGGGTTTGGTGAGAAAAGGAGGTGGAAAGAAGGGTCATTGGTCTCATTTTGATACCCCTCTCCTCTTTCAGGTTCCAACAAGGTGACTTCACTGAACTCCTGCTTTTGTAAATTAATTTTTTTACTATTGCTGGAAGTGTCCCACCTGCTGCTCCCAATAAAGGCAGATGTGTGACCGTCCTGGCCTGTCTTATGCCCATTCCGCAGGAGTGGGATGGCCTTTCAGGATGGTTCCTGCTGCTGGACCTGTGCGGAGTGAGGCGGGTATGGGAGGGGTTCCTGTCTTTGAAATCGAAAACTCTGTGGATAGGAAGGGGGTCAGGCCTATCCTCTTCTGTTGTTTTTAGAGCAGACCTCTTTGGGAATCCGCATCAATTGCGTCTGCCTTGGGCCAATCCCGTTCTCTAAATGTAGCCACCCTTCTGTGTGCTGGGGACTTTCACAAGGCTCAGCTTGTCCCCAAAGGAGATTTACCCTCGGGTGGCTACTCTGACCCCGGTAGGGCAGCGGTAGGTCCATGGGATATGACTAAGGGAGGGGGCTGCTGAGTCCTGTTCCCAAGCTGAGCGTGAAGCCAAGAAGGGTAATGGAATACAAGGCATCCATCTGGCCAGTTGGTCTGAGCCCTACAGGCAACTCCCATCTCCTACCCACAATACTCTCAAGAAGAGATGAGGAGGCAAGGTCAGATACAAAGCCATATTTTTACATTTATTTATATACGTATATTTACTTCAGAAGAAAAGAACAGGGACAGGAAAAAGCAGGCCCAGGGCTGCTTCCCTCTGCCCACTCCAGAGTCAGAGCTGGTACACGATAAATAGGAGTCAGCACTCAGAGACAGGATCTGGGAGTTAACTGGGAGGGAGGGGTGCTCTATGCACATGCAGGCTTTTATCGGGGGAGGGTATAATACAGGCAGAGGGACTTGTGCCTGAAAGGCCCTATGTACAGCTTGAAGCTTTGGGGAGATGAGCCCAGTGGCTACAGGAGTAAATGCCAGAGGGGAGAGAGGGAGGAAGGAATGGCTGCTAGACCCCACATAGGGAATGGAGCCAAGACACCCACTTACCAGTGCCAGCGGGGCAGCTGTCAGCCCCCAGCAGGTGACCCTGCTCTTCTTCCCTGTAGCCCTTTTACTTTGGTCCAAAGTTGACCCCCTGTTCAAGCAGCTTGGAGCCCAGCCTGGCCCCAATCCTTGCACTGAGGATCCCTCCTCAGGCATAGAAACAGCCAGCTGCTCACCAGATTGGGGCTATGCTGTTTCCAGAAGGGCTCCAGGGGGCAGTGGAGGGTCACTTTCCAGTTAAGGACGGAGGGGCCACAGTCCAAGGACAGGCACCCTCACTGAGGAAGCCCCAGAATCCTATTACGAAAGGTGGGGCTCAGCAGTTTTAAGGCGTTTTGGAAGGGTTCCCCCACCCCTGTGAGGGGGGAGAGAGAACAGAGTGGTCATAAGTAAGGCCTGGCCCCCTGCACGGTGTCGGGAGCCACATAATTCCTATGTCAGGATGAGGGAGTGGAGCCACACTGGGAAGAGAACTGGGAGGCAGGGTAGCCCTAACCCCCAGTTCCTCTGAGGATAAGTGCTTTGAGACCCATGGCAGAAGGGGGCGCACACCTCACAGGTTTCTTCAAATCTCAGTTCCCCACAGAAAGGCCTCCCATTCAAAGCTGAAAACGAGATGTTGGGGAAGGGGAAGGCCTGGTTCCCAAAGGCAGAATACCACGGGGCAGGGATGGCAATTCCTGTTCCCCTTTCTGAACCCATGTAGACGCGGCTAAAAGATTTCTGTACTCCTTCCGTGAGCCTGGATGCGGCCTTAGAACGCTCCAGGCTAACATTGGCACTCGAGTTAAGACTTCAGTGACACAAGCCCACTGCTCCACCTCTGGGACGGGAGAGGGGGGACCGAGCCTGCTGCCAAGCGTGGCTTGTGGAGCCAAGCACAGGAGCCCTTGACTGGGGGAGACACGGTTACCAGCAGACAAGAGGAGGGAGAAGCCAGAGTCTTAGTGGCCAGGAGGGGGAGGGATGTCTCCAGCCTCCCTGGGATGGATCAGAGCCAGGGCCCTGTCCTTGTGTCTCCCCAGGGCTCTGCACTTCTCTGGGCTTTCCATCTCCATCTTTCCACTCGTGCTCTGGCTTAAGTGCATTTCAGTAACTACTCCATTAATTACAGCAAAAGCTATTTTTTCCACGCACCAGCCAAGGCCAGCCTGCTGCCTTGCAGGGATTCCCGCTCCTCTGCTCAGAGAAAATGATAGGTTACTGATACCACCTGCAAGCTCTGGCAGCTCCCAGGAGCCTGGGCCAGGGGGCCACAACACCCATCTGGGGGCTCACCAGGAACTTCCCTTCCAGGACACTCCAGGTTCAAGGCTTACCTGGTGCGCTAGCGCCCCCACCAGTTCAGCCAGGCACTAAGTACATAAGGCACATGATCAGTCTTTCCAGCCCTCCCAGGGAGAAGAAACTTCCTGGGTCACACTTAAAGCTTAAAAGTTCCAAGTCCAGCGTAACAGTCAAACCCTAAGAAGTCGACCACCTCGCCACCCCCCACGGAGCAGCCTCGAAGGTGAGGGCTGCATACTTTCCAGTGACTCATGGATGCAGCCAAGTCTTGTAGGGATCCAGCCAAGTCCCCAGCTGTTACCAAAGGCAACAGGTCCCCATTTCAAAAGAGGGATGGCTCGCAGTCTGAAAAGGGGAGAGTGGGAGGATAGGCTCTGGATGGTCACAGGCTCCAGCCACGGACCTGAAGCCAGCCTTCCAACCACAATATGCAGATTGATACATATCAGTCCTGTCCTGGCCCCAGGTCTCTCTGGCTTCCTCTGTGGTATGTGAGGGGCAGCCAGCAGGAACAGCAACTCCAGTGTGAGGACTTCCAGTTTGACCAGTCGTGGGGGAGGGCCAAGCCCAGTTCAGTCTCCCAGGGAGCGCCAGTGAACAGCAGAGAGCTGGCGGGTGGCAGGCTCCAGTATAACACCACTGCATCCAGTGTGGAAGGGGCGCCCAGGGCTCCAGGCCCCAGAAGGCTGCCACCTTGGAGAAGGCAGCTCAGTCACACAGCCGGTAGAAATGGAAGTAGTAGTCTGTGGCTGGCCGGATAGGGGCCTCTGCACTGCAGTTGGCCTGATCCTGGTGGGGGAGGGCAGCGGGAGGTGGCTCTGGGGGTACAGGACAAGAACACCCCCCCACACACACAGCACCTCACACTGTGCCCCAAGTCTTGCCGTGTGCTCTCTGAACCCCCATATCCTTTCCCCAAGCCCCACGCTTGAGATGCAGGTGCCTGGACTCACCAGCAGTGCCACCCGGAAGTGGTAGGTGAATTCTCGGAAAGACAGGATAGTTATTGGCCACTGATGGGAAGTGCCCTGGAGAGAGAAGGGAAGAGAAGGGTGAAGACAGGCCCTACCCCTATCCCAACCAACATCCTTCACCACAGTCACTGCAGCCCTGGGCTCTAAGGCAAGTTTTAGGAAGGGTCAAGTCAGAGCTGAGAAGAGAGAAGGGAGGGAGCACATTCTGCTTGGGGAGGCAATGGCAGCCCCACTTTTCGCAGACTCTGCCAGTACCATAGCGGCCCTCCCCTGGTCCCTGCCTTGTCCCTTGCCGCCTTCCCTCCCCTTATGCTCCAGGCACATCAAGAGTATTTCTTTAATCCCATCCCCACTACAACCCAACAAAGTGATGCTGCTTATAGATGAGGAAGCTTAAAGTCACACAGCACCAGCATCTGTGGCAGAGCTGGGATGGACACAGGTCTGTCCTGCTCTGTCCCTTACAGAGGAGCCTAAGGCCCTGCTTCAGACAGCTTGCCTGTGTCCTAGCTGAGGCTCTGGCTTGGCCCCCCCAGACATGGATTCATGGATTCAGGCCTGAACTCCACATCCTGTGAGCGGCTGCCTAGGCTCTCCCTCTACTTCTGGGCGCTCTCTTCTCTGCCTGAGCTTCTTTTGAGCTTCTCACCCACTTTCCTCTACTCAGATTACTTTCTGCACCTCTTTTCTCCCCAGCCAGAGAATACATTCTTTAGGGCAAGGCCAGGATCCGCCCCCCACTGTCTCCCCAAGGCTAGGCCCAGCACAGGGCCAGGGACATGACCCCAAATACATTTTTGTTGAAAAAACATGAGTTGGTGAGAAAAGATTCCCTTCACTTGTGCTGAGAGTCACAATTTGGGGTCACGCGGGAGTCACATGGCCAGTGAGGAGCTGGAAAGGAAAGGGTCTTGGTCATTTCGTTCTCAGAATAAGAGGCAGGCCTCCACAGGGCAGCCTGAGGGATCTTCCAAAATGGCAGACTGAACCAGGCCGCTGCCCAGTCTGAGCTTCAGGCCCAGCCTCCTTCCTGTTTCCAGACTCCTAGCCTTTTGCCACAGCTCTGCCAGAAGGCCACACATTCCCTGGCCTCCAGACCTCTGCACATGCTATTCTCCTGAGACACAGTCTTCTTTTCTTCTTCCAGCTGACCCCAAATCATGCTTCAGGTTTTGTCTTAAACATGACTTTGGGGGTGGCTGTTCTGACCCTGAGGACAGACAAGGCTAGCTGTCCCTGCCAAGGACCCCTAGAATACCCTCCCAACCCCCACACTGCATCCATCCCAGATTAGTCCTGGCAGAACTGTTTTCTTCCCAGGGGCTGTGTCAGGGCAGGGACGGGACAGGGCAAGGACAGGGCCAGGAGATGCTCCACAGTGAGCAGTGCATGTGTGCCCCCACCCCAAGGCTTAAAGTGCCCCTTGTGTGGCGCTCTGACTCCCGGCTCCTTCCCTTCCCCTGTCTGGGGGCTCAGCTGGACCAGGGGAGATGAAGCTCTGGGGCCTGGCTGGCCTGCAGCTTCCCAGTTGCCTCCTACCTGGGTGTCTTGGTAGGTGTGCAGGCTCTGGGGGAAGCCCCCCTCCTCACACGGCTCTTCCTTTGACGTCAGGCTGCACAGCACCACAGACACGGGAAACGAAGAGCTAGGGGAAGGCCCAGTTAGCGGGGAAATGGGGTTCTGAGTTCCTCAGCCCCACCTCACTCTCAGCCAGCCCTCCATGCCACTTCCCCTGCCCCGCTGACACAAGCCACGAATCCTCACACAGCCTGAAAATAATGCCTACTAGTCAGGCCTTAGACAGCCCTTCCCTGTCCACTGTTTCCACATGGTCTTCACACCCCTGTGAGGCAACAACAGTTTACAGATGAGGAGCTGAAGCCCAGAGACCGCCAGGGTCACACAGCCAGTCAAGCACAGAGCAGGCGGTAAGTAAGCATCCCTCCTCGGATCCCTTCCCCAAGTTGCTGTGACCCCTGTGTCTCCTCGCTCCCCATGCTGGCACTCACTTCATCTGCAGAGTCAGGCTGAGGTGCAGTGGGGTGCTGCTGCTGACAGGGATGTGGTAGGTGAAGTTTCCAGGCCTGAAAGGGCAAACCTGGCTCCTTATTCCAAGGCTACCCTGCTGAGGCCCCCTGCCTGGACTCCCCAGCCCCTGATCTGTACCAGAGCCCATGGAAAGGGGCTGCCCCTCCTCCCCCCTTGTGGGGAAAGGGGGACGACATCTGGGCATCTGTACTGCCTGGGCTCATATCACTTAAGGGAATCTATCCTTGGGGCAAAGGGAGGGAGCCAAGCCTACCTGCAGGCATCTCCTGGAGCGCAGTACTGGGAAGTGATGGGCATCAAAGTCTCCAGCACCTGGATGGAGGTCAGGGAGGGCACTGGGTCTGCAAGGAGAGAGACTGTTGGGGCGGGGCGGAGGGTGACCAGGCAGGATACAAATGAGAAACTACCATGCCTTTCCTTGCCAGGCTTGCATTCAGTCACTCACACCTTAGTATAGATAAGTTCCAGGTTATTCTTTTCCAGACCCCCCACAATGCCCAAGGTCACAGCACCATCTTCCCCAGCAGCACTACAAAGAGCCACTTCCCATGAGCCTGAGATCTGCCTCCTTGATAGAACCTGAACATGAGGAGCAGGGATGGGTCTTCCATATCCTTTGCCAGGGGCGTATAGGAGCCCGCTAGCAGAACCATGTTTCTGACTACACACATTTCTACATTCAGTTCAGTGGCATCAAGCTGGTTGCTTGAAGTCAGCCATAGCAGGAATATTCGCCACCAATCAGGGCTTTTTTTCCGAAGAGCCAACTGTTAAACACCTACCAGCACACTACTTGTGAAGGCTGTGGCCTATGTGGATGAACCCCCCACCAACTGGCTGGCTGGGGGTAGGACTGAAGTGCGACATGATGGGTGGGGGAGACAGGCTTTCTTGGTCACCTGGCTGCTGCCTGACCATCCCACTAGGAAGGGGAAGCTGGGGTCACCAAACATCTGCTAGACCTGGTATGTTTTCAGCTCTATGAGGACTAACCCAGGTACCCAAGGACCCCTGCAGGACCCAGCATGCCTGAACAGATACCAGAAGGTACCCATCTCATTTCCCTTCCAGGCAAACTCCTGTGGTCCTTCAGGGACTCAGCTCCAATGTCACCTTCTCCGGGGAGACCTTCCCTGATCACCTCCCCACCTCAGCCTGGATGAAGTGCCCCCCCCCCACCACCAGCCCTACATGTCCCCTCAGAGCCCCGTCACTCTACTACATGACTGTTTTCATGTCTCTGAGCATGAAATCCGGGGTCAGGGCATATGTGTCTTCATCAACCCAGTACCCTGTAGGGAGTTAGCCGCGGAGCAGAAAAGGCTGGCTGGTGAGCAGCTAACCTGTGGGGTTTCCCCATCACTCTAACTTCAATCTTAGCAAGTTACAGTTTCTAAGCCTTTTTTTTTTCTTTAAGCCACAAAACCCATCAAATGAAAGCTGATAAGGAGGCCCAATACCCAGAGCAGAGCTGACTGGCTGAAGCCTGGAAGGCCCCTGGCTTTTTCTGTGGCCTTGGCATCAGGCAGACTTGGTCAGTCTGTGGTTCTGCTGCTGACAGGCCACATGATCTGTCTCCGCTTCCCCATCTGAACTACGGGGATGTGTGTGAGGATTGAATGAAGTGATCTACATAAGGTTCCTGGCCCGACTGGTGTTACTCGGTAACACCCAGCAAATGTCTGTGGACTGGCAGTCCTGCACCAGGCCTTCAGGTGGCTGGGCTGAGAAGATGGGGGATGGGGAGGGCAAGTACCTGGCTGGCCCCGGGCCTGAGTTGGCTGAGCAGGGCTCAGGCCAGGCTGGGAGGCCCCTCGGCGGGTCCGACCATGGAGACTAAGGCTGGGGCTGTTCTTGGCTTTGCCCTGCCCTCCAGAGAAGGGGACTGCAGGGCTGGCCAGAGGCTCTGAGCTCTTTGGATGCTTGGAGTGGCCAATGCCATTGGCTGATAGGCTCCAGGATTTGGCTTTGATGTTTGTGACTGGCAGCAGGGCCATCTGGCTGGGGCCTATGGACAGAATGAGGGATAGGCTGAGAAGAGGGAACCAGCTGCCTCTGGTCCAGCTTTCTCTAGGACTTCACAGACTCTGGGTGACCTGCATCTGTCTCTTCGTCCCTTCTGGGAGACCCACCAATCTCTCTCCAGAGCCTCATTCTGGGCTCTGGATACACTCCCTCTAATGAGTCTTTAGGGCCTTTCTCTGGACTCACATAAAACCCCCTCAACCCAAACCCTGGACCCGAGGTAGCCATACCTGAGCGGTTGCCGGAGGGACTGGGACTGGGGTTGAGGCCACGGCCAGGGTTAAAGCTGGGGCCAAGACTAGGGGCAGTGGTCAGGCTGGGGGTAGACAACGAGCAGCAGACAACCGGGCAGGGGTGGCTGGAGCACAGGTCCAAGGTGGGGACGACCGGACCTGGGGCTGAGCGGGTCAGGCCAGTGGTAACTGAGGAAGCCAGAGGCTATGTGAGCTGGGCAGCTGGGCCCCCACCTAGAACATGGCCACCTCTCCCCCGTCCCCACCCTCCAAACCCAGTGCTACACGCACCCAGCAGCAAAGAGGGCTGTGTGCCTGGCAGCCCGGTGGTCACAGGGGACTGTCGGAGCTGAGTGGTCCCAAAGCTCTGGCTTAACCTGCTGGGGAAGGGTGGGCTGAGCTCAGAGCGACTGCAAGAGCCTCAACAGGGAGGCCTGGGAGTCCCGGAGGAACAGGAGGGACAGGAAGAGGTGGACAAGGATGGTGGAAAAGAGTCAGGAGCCAGAGGTAGGAGGGAGGGGACTTGTTCCAGACACATACCATGGACACAGGGCCTCACTCCCCCCAGCGAGCTGGGGCCGGAGCAGGGCCAGAAGGCAGGAAGTGGACACGGCAAAAGAGCTAAGGGGCAGCAGAGAAGAAGAGGAGGGGAGACAAGTGCAGGGGAGGAGAGAAAAGACACAGTCAGAGGTAGCCCCAGAGCTGAGGTGACAGTGGGCAAACAGCCCAGGGTCCCACCCGGGTCCTCCTGACCTTCCAACCCCCATCCCAGTCTGTGCCCCTCAGATGCCCCAGACTGTCAGAGGCCCAGCTACCTCAAGGAGTACAGAGTAGACCACAGAGAAACACTGGTTTGGGCAGGGATGGGGAACTGGTCGCCTCTCCTCCAGGGAGACCTCCCCACCCACCCCTGCAGGCCCCAGCAGGCTGAGAACCTGAGGTGCAGTCCCCATGGGAGGAAACAGCTTCCATAGCAACTCTGCCCCTGGGTGGCCCACCAAAGCCCCACCTGTCCTGGCAGCTTGGCCAGCAGCCAGGCCTCCAGGGACATACCCATCAGTTTCTACCAGGTCCTCCTCGGTGCGCAGGCTCAGCACATACAGTGTGGACATGGACACCACGCTGGGAGCCACAAGAAAGGGCCACTGTTAGAGCTGCAGCCACTGTCCCAGTCCGGTCTCTAGGGCAGGGTCTGCAGGCCTTGGCTCCAGGGGATGGGCTTGCGAATGAATGATGCCTGTAAAGGCGTCTTCCCAGCCCCAGGGGCAGGCCCTAGAGAGGGGGGTGGCCGCTACCTCCCCCAAGACCTCAGCCAGGGCTTGATCTCCCAGCCACGGCTTCCTCTTCCTCCAGGCAGGCAAGGGCAACGGCAAGGGCCGTTCAACTCCCCCCAACCCCCCCCCCCCGCAGGCCTCCCCCTGGAGCCCAGGGAGAGGACAAGTCACCTGAAGGCCATGACCACTACCAGGGCAATAATGGTTCCCTGTAGGAAGCGCTGGTTGATGCAGGCCTGGTCTGGGACCACAGAGGATGACTGAGGATCGAGGGGGAAGAAGCAGAAAAGGTTCAGGCTTAGGGCGCCTGTGGTGTCACTTGGTGGGCTTGGGCTCTGCTGGATGTGGGGGTGCTACAGTCTACTCATTCCTATGGGTGTTGGGATGGGGGTGGGGGGGTGCAGCACAGAGGGAGAGGAAGGGGAACTGGGGCCAGAGAACTAGAGAGCTGAGAAGAGAGAGGAGCTCTTGCCGTCCGAGAGGCTGCAGAGGGAGGGCCCGGTCCAAACTGCCTCCCGTCCATGCTGCTCTCACCTTGCTGGCCACCTTGGGGGGCCTCTTCTTGTGGGGCACACTGCCCGCCCGGCTGAACTGGCTCCCTGCATGGCTGCAGCAAGAAGTCCAGGGTCAGAGGAGCCTCTAGGAAGGGGGTCTTGCCCTGCCTGGCCCACGCCCCCACCTGAAGGCGCCCGAGCTGCCGGTGGACTTGAGGCTGTCCAGCCGCCGCAGTTTGGCCAGCCTGTGGCTCCAGCGCTCCAGCTCATCGATGCGTGTCTCCAGGTTGTCCGTCAGCTTGCACAGCTCCTTCACAGCACCCACATTCTCCATAAAGATGCGCTCCTGCCACAGGCAAGGGGCGCCATCAGCCCCCAGGAGCCTGGGCGATGGGGGTCAGGATGGCAGCCCCATAACCCGTGGCCATGTGGAGGCCCTCAAAGCCTTCCTGCCCTGGCCAGCCTGGGCTCCCCCACTCCTTGTGCCTGCCTCCAAAATGCACCCCCACCTCCACTGGGCCAGCCCTTTCCACCCCGTCAGAACACCATGGGCTCTCAGAGGCTCCAGCCTCTCATCTGACGAAAGTGGTGTCTCAGGCTTTGGCTCCCAACTATTCAGCCAAAACAGCACTTGGTCCCCACAATGAGTGGTGTTTCGGCTGACAGCCACCTGAGAAGGACTTGGCAGTGATTATCTTCAGCCTCCTTTTGAAGGGGAAGAAAACGAGACCCCATGAGCTTGCTCTCCCTGCTGAGCACACACCCATAGTGTTGCCAAGGCCCCTGCTAGCCATGGAGTGCTCACCCCCTTCCCTGGAGGGTGGGCCTGGGGCTCTGGGCACAGTATGAGAGGAGGTTGGGCGGCCTCGCCCCCTGCACCTCAGGGTTCCTGGTCTCTGAGTGGGAGATGAATGCCCTCCTGCTGACCCCCGCCCTGCCCGTCGGCTCCCTCAGCCCTCCCCACCACAGACCTTGTTCACCACCAAGAAATTCTCTACGGTTTGTCCATTGGCAAAGACCATGTCTCCAGTGTCCTTCACGGCTTCAGGCAGGATCTCCTTCACTTCCTGCGCGATGACACCTGCGGAGTTGTGGGGGAGCCACTGGAGGAGGGCGAAATTCTGGGAGCTAGAGATTTGAGATCCAAGGAGCCCCGGAGCAGGGGGTTCCCATGGACAAGTGTTCAGAAGGTTGCAGTCCGGGCTCAGGTTGTGGGGTTCCCCAGCCTGACGTAAGGCTGGATTCCTGGGAGTAAGGATCCAGGGGAAGTGGGCAGAGATAAAGGCAGGATTCACCTAAGACCGTGATGCCAGGACTTCCAGTGTCAAGAGGTGAGCTACTGGGCACCTGAGGAGGCCCCGTTTTCCAAGGCCTGAGGGGCAGGACTTCTAGAGGGTAGGATGTTCCAGTAGTTGAGGAGAGGGGCTCCTGGGAGTGGGGTTTCCAGGGGGCACGGTTACTGAGCCCCGAGGTGGCTGGGTTCCCAGACCCCAGCCCCAGTCCGCGTCCCTACCTGTCTCTGGCGCCGTGGCCTCGATGCCTGCGGTGGCTGCAAACTCCGGCTTGTATCTGTAGTGCACCAGCCGCATGCGCGAGATCCTCTTCAGCTGCTCCGTGGTGTCCACCTGAACGGGACCCAGGGCCCAGATTGAACCCCTCCCCTCCAGGCCCATCCGAAGCGGGCCCTGGAGCTCAAGACTGCGGCAACAACACAGGCCCTGCAGAGTGGCGCGGAGTCCTTACAACACCAGGGTCCCGGGATGGAGGGATGTAGAATTCGAGAGCTGCCTGCCTCCCCGAAGTCCTTCTGCAGCCCCTCTGCAGCCCTGTACCTCAGCCAGCCCCCGGCCCCTCCCGAGGGTAACGCGGCTGGCCCCGCCCCCATGGCCCCGTCCCTCGCCCTCAGCCCGCCCCCACCTCCTGCACGTGCTCCTTGGCCCGCAGATCCGAGGGGTGCATGAGCGAGCCCATGACCTTGACGTTGCCGTGCACCACCAGCGCCTCATCAGGCCGGTCCGTGTTGATGCCCACGCGGCCATGGTGGAAGACGGTGTCAGGCACCTGCGCCCGCTGCCACAGCACGTCGCTGTCACTCTCAAACTGGCCTGGGTTGGAGGCCTAGCACAAGTGGGGGGGTGGGGAGCTGGGTCAGTCCCAGGGGAGGTGGGACGTGCAGTGCCCTGGGAAAAGGGGAAACCCTGCAGCCACCCCTCCGGCTCCAGCCAGAAAGTCTCATCCCACCACGCCCAACTTAACCTGTCCCTCCCATTGTGGCACCTTTCAAGTCACTCGTGGGATTGCAGAAGGCTATCCAGGTCTTTTCCACCTCCACTCTAGTGAAGGAGACACTGTGGCTCTGAGGGTGGAAACTTGCCCGAAGCCACACAGCTAGTGCCTACCAGGGTCAGCACTCGAGCTCCTGACACCCCAGTACCCCAGTATTTTTCCTGCGTGCTGTTTCTCCCCGCACTGGGGACGACTCTTGATCTCCTGGGAGGAGGGAGCCCTCACCCTCACGATGATGCGCTCTGAGATCTGGGCAGCCAGCGTGTAGTTCTGGTTCTGTGCGTGGGCCTGGAGGGCCACCACCAGCATGAAGTACCTGGGGTGCACAGGGGTTTAGAGGCCCCCCGGGGTCTTGCCCCACTGGCCCCTGCCCGCCAGTCCCTCTTCCCATGTCTGATGTACAGTGCCCTGGCTCCAGCTCCAGCATCCCAGGGGCCAAAGGGCATTAACACCTCAGCCTACAGAGGAGGAACCTGAGTCTCCACTAGGGGGCAGAGATTCCCCAGGGCCTAGAGCTAAGGAACCACTGAGCTGTTCCTCCAGAGCCAGGCTTCTGCTTCCTCATCCTTAAATCCATTAGCCTTAGGTCTGAGTCTCAGGTCTCTAGCATAAAATGGGTCCGTCTGTGGGACACTGCCCCATGGGGTGGTGCCTTCCTGCCCCTCCTCGTCAGAAATAAGAGGGCCCGCCAGGGCAGGGCTCCAGCCTGCTCACCTCTGGTCAGGGTTGGGTTTGCCCTTCTTGCGCATGTTGTTGGCAGTGGTCTCGCTGAAGTGCAAGCGCCCCACGGTCACCTTCGTGACCTGCTCAGGGGGCAGATTGACCCTGCAGAAGAGCGGCAGGGGACTCAGGAGGCAGGGAGGGGACAGATACTGTGGGTGCTCCTCAGCCCTTCCAAGCACCACCTTTTAGAGGGTCAGATACTCACGTGACAGGATTAAAGGGCCGCTTGCTCCGGTCAGACTGCGACTGTTCAATGTTGATGGACTGGTTCAGGGCCTCCAGCTGGGGGAGAAGCAGAGGCCGATATACATCAGGGCCGGGGTCCCTCCCTGGTTCTGTCTCCCTTTAGCCGCTCAGTCCAGGCCTGGCCCAGCCAGAGCTCCCCAGGAGGCAGAGGCATGGCCCTCCCTTCCATGAGGGCACCATCACATCACTCTCTCACCTCCGTGTGCACGCACTCATGCATTCCACAGACACACGGCCCCCATGTCCACACCCCACATGCCTCCACCTTCGCTCACATAACCCTAGCTGACCTCCATGAACACCCACTCCCACCCAAACCCACACACCCCCCAGACCCTCTCCCACACCCACATCGCCTCAACCTCTCCATGCCATGCCAAGGTGCCAGGCCTGGCTCCCCACACAGGAGGAAACACACCTGGCGGTGCCCCCAGGAAGCTCAAGGGCTCCAAGTCAAGCACTCCTGGGGTGGGGCTAGAGGTGCCACAGGGAAGGAGCCTCAGGGCAGGTGTCCCTAAGGACCCAGGCCAGTAGCAGAGTGAATGGGAAGGCCAAGGAATCATCTCCCAGGAGAGGAGGGATGGGCATTCTCAGGGCATCCCAGAGAGAGGGAGTTGCTTCAGGAAAGTAGGGGCTGTGTGAATGGCCACAACGGGTCTGGGACTGGAGTGAAGGGCTAGGTCCCAAAAGCCTTTGTGGCCTAAGCTTAGAAGTCAAGGCTTTGCTGGGAGGGCACCAGGTGCTTTGGAAGAATGGCTAGTATCATGCCCACCAGTGTCTCAGGGGGAACATGAGTTGCAGCCAGAGTGGATGCTGCTGTGGTCATTTAGATGAGGTGGGGGTTATGGTCTGGTCTGGGGAGAGCCAGAGAGGAGAAGACAGGGGAAGGGGCCAGGGTGGGCAATGCTCTAGGGGAACAGCCAGGTCTGGTGCATGATGAGGTGAGGGCAAGTGGGCCCCTGGAGCCCCACTCCCTGAGTGGGGAGCCCCAAGGGAGGGGTAAGATGACAGGGAGTTCATCTGGGGATGGGGACTAAGGCAGCAGCCAGCTTAGGGCAGGGTCTCAGCTGAGGGCACAGACTTGGGGTCAAGGTAGAGAAGGAATCAGGAAGCATGGCTGAGAATGAGGAGCCTGACAGTTCGGGTGCAGGTACACTCACTTTGCCTGGAGGTCTTTCAATCTCAGGCATTCCTGGCTCCCACCCTCCCCTCCTTGCTGAGCCCCAAAACCTGCCTTCACTCCATGCAGTTTCAGGTAGAAGCAGTCAAGAGGCTTGAGGCCTTCAGGTGTCTTGACATACTTGGGCTCACCCAGCATCCCGATGTACACTGTCACCTGGAAGTGGTTTTTCTTCTGGCACACGAAGGCGTCGTCGCCCACCGAGAAGTTGAAGCCCTTGTCAGCGTCCACACGGTAAGTGAGCATTGGCCTAGGGGCAGGTGAGGGTACTCGCTGGAGGCAACCCCAAAGCCCGGCCTGGAATGTCCCTCCCACATGCCTACATTCCAAAGCAGCTTCCTCTCGGTATCCCCAGTCCTCAAACCACTCATGAGGCTGCCCACCCCCCCACACACCGCCACTGCTTCTCAGAAATGGAAACTGAGTCCCCGGAAGGATCTGAGCTCAGGTCTGCCAACTCTTCAGCCAATATTCTCTCCTCTACGTAGCTTGGAGCAGCCCACCCTGGTGATGAGAGAATCAGGGCCAGAACCCCGAGGCCCCACCAGATGGGAGTGAGCTCCTGAGGAGGGGGCTTGATGGCCCCTCCTCACACTTGGCTCCTTCCCAGAACGCTGCCTGAAGACCGCTCCTCATGGGAGATGGGGTGAGAGAGGGTGAGAGGGGATGTGTCTGCAGAGCCTCACTGGCCTGACAGCTGGTTGCCATGGAAACGGTGGAACCAGGCGCCGGCTCTGCACTGGCCCAGCCCCTGTCCACTGGCTTGCTCAAGCCCCCAGAGTCCTCATTCTGACTCCTCCATCTGCCCAGGTGGGGAGAGGGGCACTCTGTGCAGCCCAGACCCAGTCTCAGTTTACCCATCTATTGCTGGGCAAGTATTCCAAGTATGGATCCTTTAGGGGACCTCTAGGTGGCAGGAAAGAGGGCAACTGTTAGCCCATCCTCACCCAGGTCCCCAGGCACAAGCGGTGCCCCTGATGCCCAGGAAGATGGACAGAAAATGATTCCAAACTTGAGGGAAGAGGCTTTGGGGCCTGGCTACCATCTATATAGGAAGGCCTGGGGTTCCACCCACCTGCCCGCCCCAGGGGAACACCCACCCAGGAAGTATGCAGGCCACACCGGGGTTTCAGCTGCCAACTTCCTGGCCTTAGGGCCTGAGATGGTAGGGCTGACCCCGAAAATATGGTAGTAAGAGCAGGGGGTCCTCACCAGGCCATAAGGATGGGATCCCCGAAGACCTCCCCCCCAGGCCTGGCAGGGCCTCAAGGGATCCTTCAGCAACTTACAGCAGGCCGGATCCCCCCAACCCTGAGGGCTTCTGGCTAAGAATCCCACACAGCTGGGGAGCCCAACTCCAGGAGGCCACCCTGTCCAGGCCTGGCAGTGTCCAAAGGGAATCAGTGAGCCACACTCTCAGCCCCACTGGACTTCTGCGGGAGTGAGGGGAGTGGTCCCAGAGTGCTCTTGGCCTGGTCCCAGGAAGTGAATCTGCATGGGTGGGTGCTGAGGGAGAGCTAGGAATGCCCGGACAGCCTGTCCTCCCCCACCCCTTTGTCCCTCCCTCCAGGGAGGGGGCTGCTGCCAACACAACTTCCTGCTACCTTCCTGGAATGCAGGAGTGGGGGAGGAGGAGCCAGAAAATATCCATCCACCCACTTCTCCCTGACTTGACTCCCACTGGCCCCACCCTAAAGACACTGCCTTCTTGGGGAGGCCTCAGGCTGGCCCAGAAACTGGGAACCCTCAGTGCCAATCCTAGTTCCGCCCTGAGCCTGCTGTGCTTCTCTAAACCAGGAAGATGCTGCACCCTGTGTGCTCCCAGGCCCTGCTCTGGGACCCTGATGCCAGGGCTGGGGGTCCCCAGAGATGGTAACAGGAGGGGCGGGGTGTGGCATGAGTCACTCACAGCTCTTTGTAGTTTGCATCGTACAGCGTGGCCCACTTGTTCTGCTGATGCGGTTGCCACTTGATGGACTGATAGTTGGGGTCCAGGTAGGAGCCGCTGAGGCTGTCATTGTCCTGCAGGAGACCTGGGAGGAACAAGCACCTGTGTGGGCCCTGGGCCCCACTTCCCAACCCTGTGCCCCACACCCAACGTCAAGGGTCAGCTCCCTGTGAGGTTCAGCAGGCCAGGCACGTACCTGGTGAGGGGGCACCTGGCGGGTGCCAAGGTGGCGTCTGGACCCGGGCGATGCTGAGGGGCAAGGAGCTGGGGCCAGGTGACAGTGGGCCCTGGGGAGGCCAGGGAGGTGATGGGGCGCGAGCTGGGTGTGGGGGCAGGCTCGTGGTGGTCCCGGGCTCCTGTTTGATCATTCCATTCAGCATCTGGGTATTGAGGGTGTTGGGAGGTGATTCGGAGTGCTTCCTCTTCTTGGAGGGGTGTGTGGGGAGCCTGGGGGTGACACAGGCATGTGCCATGTGGGGGCTGGCCCTTTCTGAGCCCCCCTCCCCTCTTCACCCTGTCTCAGCAGGATATGCCCAATCCAGAGGACACCTCCTCCAAAAAGCCCTGGGCTTTACCTCTGTGCTCCCCCATTGCTCTGTAATGTCATTTTCTGTTTCTGTCACTCCTCTCTACCTCCCAGATTATTGAATCTAGGAGGAGCCACACCTGACTTGTCTGTGTCCCCATCCTGCCCAGCAATGGGCCTGGTGCACAGAGTGCTCAGAACTGTCTGTGGAATGAACAAGTCTGTCCTTTCCCTGTGGGGACATTCCCAGAGCCACCCTTCATAGTGGGGGCTCCAGGGAGAGCAGCCTCCATAGCTGCAAACAAGCCCCAGAGGGCACGGGGCACCGAGTCTGGGAAGGAGAGTTTCTTGGGAAGGAGGCTGTAGAATCTGGCCTTGAACTAAAGCTTTCATGACATCTCAGTGTGTAAAATAAACAGATAAAAGTATGATTTTAGGGGAGCCTGGGTGACTCAGTCAGCTGGATGTCTATCTTCAGTTCGGGTCGTGATCTCAGGGTCCTGGGATGGAGCCCCGCATCAGGCTGTCTGCTCAGCAGGGAGTCTGCTTCTCCCTCTCCGTCTCTCAAATAAATAAATAAAATCTTAAAAAAGATAATTCTACTGGTTGGAGTCTGAGTGGAAGCTTGGGTCCATGGCTAGAACTTCCTCCAGAGCGCCTGGACTCCATGAAAAAGGTTGGAAAGTCACTGGTGTCTGGGTGAGGGCACAGCTCGAGGTTCAAGTCCTGGCTCTGCCCCTTCCTAGTTCCATGACCAGGACAAACATTTCCTCCCCTGGGAACCCCAGTTTACCTCTCTGGACAGTGGAGCAGGCCATGCTCACCAAATCAGGTAGTCAGAGCACTTGGCTGTGGCTATATATCTGCAGCTGGCTGCTGGGTGGGCACATTCGTCACCTGGGGTCAGGGCCTTCTGCCCTCCTGGTTCACCCCTGTCCTGACGTCCCCCTCTGTCCTGCCTACTGCTGCCCTGGCCCCCCACCCCCAAGCCCACCTGCCCTGGTCTTACTCAGCTCCGTGCTGCTGTAGCAGCTGGTGTAGCATCTGGGACTGCTGCGTATGGTGGAGATCGCTGGGCACGAGCCCCTGCCCCATGGCAGCATAGGGGGGCATCGGGGGCTCGGCCTTCATGTACAGGTCCCGCTGCAGGACGGGGTAGTGAGGCGGGGGTGGTGGGGGGCCCGGCAGGTGGGCCGGAGGTGGAGGTGGGTGCTCTAGGCGGGAGGGCACTCCCACGTGGCACAGGGTCTCGGGGGTTATGGTGCGCAGAAGATGGGGGTCTGCGGGAGAGATGGTGGGGAGCCGGGAATCAGAGCCCCATGTCACTCAGGTTCCCAGGCACCAGCTCGGCCCCTGGCAGGGTCTCTTGATCTCCACCACCTTCTCCTGAGCCGAGCCCCGGGGGCTGCCCTCCCACCAACCCCATGTGGGAGGAGGGCTGGGCAGCCTGAGGTTGGCCACTAGAGGCTCTGGCAGGGAGACCAGCCCCCGTCCAGGGGGTGGGCAGCTTTCCCGAATCGTCCTGACCGGCTCCTTCCCCGCAGGCCCGGCCGCCCAGCTCCCTGGCGAGGGCCCGCAGCCCAGCGGCCTTCGCGGGCCCCTGTGAGGCCTGAGCCTCCTCTGGGCCTGAGGACGGAGCCTCTAGGGACCCCCGCACAGGCCAGCAGCCCCTCGGGCCAGCCCCCCAGCTCCCTTTGTTCCCCAGGAGGCATTCCAGAAATGTTTTTGGTAAGATAAACAGAACTCTTGACCCTTCTCTGAGCTGTGGGGAGACAGCCGCCCAGATCCTTCTGCTTTTGGCCACCTGGGGGCCGCTGCAGCCCTGCCCCCCCACCCCGCCAAGGGGAGGTGGGCCCAGGAGGCCAGCGGGGCCTGTATGCAGGCTGCACCCACGGCCCCCCCAGCCGTCCACTTACCGCCAAAGGGCGCGTCCATGATGGCGCAGGCGGGCAGGCGGGTGGCATCACCAGCAGGGACACTTGCTCAGAGGCAGGGCCAGGCTCCCCACCCGCCCGGGGGGAAACAATAGCCAGCGCCGGGGAGTATTTGACCAGCGATAATCTCAGCCTGTTGGGCAGCCGCTGGCCCCCTCCCTCCTGCGCTCCCTCCCTCCCGATAAGGCCGCCCCAACCACTTGCCCAAACCCCAGAGGGGGAGGGCGGTGCCCGCTGGACTCACCATTCACCTGCTGGGGGGAGTAGGCCTCGGAGCCTGAGTCTGGGGGAGAATCCGGCAGTGTGCTGCAGGGGCGGGAGGAAGGGGCTATTGGGCAGGCCGCTCTTCTGTGGGGCAGGGTCCCTGGGACCCCCAACGCTGGAGGCCTTGAGGTTCCCTCACTCCACCCTTGGGGCATTTTGAGCCACCTGGGAGTGCCAGGCAGGGCCTGGGGCTGAGGTGTGGGTGTGGGGCCTTGGGCAGCCCCTCAGACCTACTGGGCACTTGGGGACCAGCAACCAGTGTTCCTGATGACGGCACAGGGATTCACAGAGCAGGGGCCAGGTCTGCTTCTGCCTTCCCACACCCACTGAAGCCCCACTTTCTAGAAAGTCTAGAGGGGCTCTAGGGGGCTCTAGAGGGCTGGGCTGTCCCACCATGGGCAGGTATGGACTGGGCAGGCAGCCAGCTCCACCAGGCCTGGGTTTATTTTTTTCTTTCAGGTTTTGTTTTATCAGCGGTTCAGGCAAAAGAACAAACTCAACCCTGAGAGATCAACAAGTCCTGGGTGAACCTGCATTCACCCGGTGAGGGAGGCTGCAGCCAAGCGGGGACCCAGCTCTTTGGCCGTCCTGGTCCTCACGTCTGGAGAGACTGCCCAGGCACCATCTCCTGCCTGCTCCCTGTACAGGGCCGGTGGGTTTTCTGGTGTGTCAAGATCCCTTCCCCTTCCGTGGGACCTCATGTTCTTTCCTCATGACTCCTCGTGCTCCTCGATTTGGTGATTTATTAATAACTCCCCAACCCTGCCCCAGCCAGCCTGCAGGATCCACTGCAGGAGGGAAGTGTGTTCGTCTTGTTTGGCACCTAGAACTCGTCCAGGCAGGGGGCAGGGGCAGGAAAGGGCTCTGGGTCCTGCCCAGGGAGCAGCCCGGGCCCCGTGGTCTCTGTGTGGTCCTGGGCAAGCCCTTTCTCTCCCTGAGCAACAGCCTCAGTGTGCCGTTTGAAGCCTGCTGAGGGTCAGCCCAACTTTACTTGCAGGCCAGCTGGTTTTGGGGTCCCCTGGGAGCTGTTGCTGGAGAGGGCTGATAAGCTTACACAACGAGAGCCACGGGGCAACAGCAGCAGGTACCTAGCAGGTGCTCATAACTTGTTAATTCTCTTCCCTCTGTCTTTGCCCTTCGGGGTCTGGGCTTAGGGACAGACTCTCACTGGACGTCTGTCTCCTGTGGCAAAAGTTCACCCCTAACACCCCAACTCGCCTCTGCGAATAAGCCAGGAGAAGCTATGGTACCCCCCGACCCACACTTGCTGTGGGCCTCCTCCCCTTATTTCCACCGTCCTGGAGGGAGACACGTTTTGAGGTCACTCTACGGCTGTGGATGCTGAAGCCCTGACCGGGGCTGTGGGTTCCCAAGCCAGAAGGTTGCAAATGGTGGAGCTGGAGGTGGGGCCAGGCTGTGGAGACAAGTGTCATGCCTCCCACACTCTATTATTCTTCTACCCAAAGACAGGGTCCCCTGTTCCTGCCCCAGGCTGAAGCCAGAACTTCCTCGAGCTCCTCTGCAGAACCCAGCAGACCCATGTTCCTGCCTATCCTTATGAGCACATGTCTGTGGCTGGGATGGTGGCCGCCCGCTTCCTTTGGTCACAGCCAGACCCAGGCTGAGTCCCTGGGTCAGGCCACTGGTGTGGACCCCTTGGAGAGAGGACTGAAGGGCCTGGAGGCTGGCTTGGGTGGGGGAAGCTTCAGGTACTGTATCTGTGCCATTGGCGGCCAAAGCAAATAGCAGCTAAATGCACGAGCGGATGGGCCTGGGGCAGTGAGGGGACCCCGTGTGCCCTCTGTATGTACGCATGTATGTACATGCGTGTATCAGGACAGGAACATAGCTGCATCCCCTCTTTACAGAGCTGTCAGAATTTTCTAGCACTTACACCAGCCCTCATCAACCCGCTGCTGCTCAGAATCCTCTGTGGCTGCCCAAGGCCTCAGAACAAAGTCATGAGTCCCTCCTCAGCCACTTTACCTAACCAGTCACCATGGCCAGGCCAGGCCGCTGCCAGCACCTCCCAGACCCACGCCCGACCCCCTCATTCCCGGCCCTCACTCACCCTGGGGCATAGGGAGCCTTGGGCTCTGCCTTGATGGGGGGCCCAGAGGCCCCCAGGAAGGGCTTAGGAGCGCCACTCATAGCATTATTGTTGCAGTTGAGCGGGGTGCTGTAGCTTGGGGCTGGGAGGGAGCCATGGCGCCCTGGGGAGGGTCCACCCCCAGGGGGGCTCAGGTGGTGGCCCCCGCTGGAGCCTGGGATGGCTGGAGGCCCATGGGGGTAGGAGGCTGCACTGGCTGGAGCAGAGATGTCAGGGAAGCAGCTGTGGAAAAAGGAAAAAGCTCAGCGTCCACCAGGACCCCTGCCCCTCCCAGACTCCCCCTCTGCAGGGCAGCTCAAGGAGACGCAGAGGAGTCAGCAGATGGGAATAGAGGGGGAGGAGCTTGCAGACTGGTCTCCATCACCTGTCTGGTGAAAGGTGGAGGCCAGAGGGGGTGGGGGTGGGGCCACTCACAGGTCAGAGGCATCCTCCTTGCTGATGTACTCCTCCAGGATGCTGGTGTCTATGTTGGAGGGCTCCAGGGCGCCGTTGATGTCGTGGCCTATAGGGAAGGGGCAGGCATGAGCTAGGCTCCCCAAGACCCCTAGGCCTCTGGGCTCTGCCCCACAGCTCTCCCCAGGGTGGGCCCTCCAAAACCCATGCCCCCAAGCTCCTCCCCACCTGTGTATCCATGTGGGGGGAGAGTCCTTCAGGGCCCAGTACCTGATGCCCCTCCAGGAGGAGGGGAGGAGCCCAGAGTGCAGATCTGGGACAGACAAGCCATTTCCTGGGATGTAAGTCCTTCCTGTCTGTAAAATGGGGTAATCGGGGACACCTGGGGGGCTCAGTAGTTGAGCGTGTGCCTTTGGCTCAGGTCGTGATCCTGGAGCCCTGGGATTGAGTCCCACATCGGGCTCCCCATGGAGAGCCTGCTTCTCCCTCTGCCTGTGTCTGCCTGTCTCTGTGTCTCTCGTGAATAAGTAAATAAAAATCTTTAAAAAGTGTGTGGGGGGAGGGTAGTCATCCCAAGGTCTTATGGGGTGCTGTGAAGAGTCAATGAGATACTTCCTTGAAATGAGTGCCCAGTGGATGCCCACCACCCTTGAATGCTGGACCCAGACCCAATGACCCTGTCCTGCCCTGCCTCCTTCCAGATGGCCCACCTGGTGGGCACTGAGGAACCCAAGACCTGGCTGGGCTGAATCACATGTCCTGAAGGTCCCATGGGCCAGGGGAGCCTCCTGCACCCCAGGCCCCAGTCGCAGATACCCAGGGAGTGGGGCCTGGACTCAGCCTACTGCCTAGCTCATCACCCCCACGATGGGGGCCGGGGGCCTAGCCCTTGTGTTCCAGAGAGGTGTGGGCTTGCCTGGCCTCACAGCAAGGAATGATGGCGGCCAGAGCTCTGCTCCTCCACAGCCCTCTCCTGGGCCCTCCCTGCTGGCCCTAGCCCCACAAAGGGGAGGGACTCACAGAAAAGGCGCCCAGTGCTCTTGGGCATAAGCAGGGGAGGAGAGGGGAGGTGCTGGCCTTTCCCCTCCCAGGGTCACCTTGCAGGGGGGGAGTGGGAAGGCGGGGTGATAAGGCGGTGACGTAGGAGATGTGTCAACCCCGATAATGGAGGACGGCCCCACCCACACTGCTGACTCAGGCTGGCCAGCCCCACTGAGGCAGAGCTACCCCTCCCACAGGCCCCTGGGGCAGTGAGCCTGGGGTCTACGCCTCACGCCTCCTCCCTGATGAGCCCTGGGAATAGCTCAAGAAGATCCAGGAACAAATCCTAGCTTGCTTAATGCCCACTGTGTGACCTTGAGCAGGTCACATACCCTCTCTGAGCCTCAGTCTCCTCATTAGTAAAATGGGGACATGAACAGCTCACGCTTTACAGGGCTGAATATGAAACAAGTTAAGGTACATACGGTGCCCAGCACCGGTGTTCAGCAAACGGAGTGGCTGTCCTTGCTTCACAGTCCCAGAGCCCTGGGGTCCCCAGGAGCCCCTGGCCCAGGCCCCTCCCTGGCCCCAGCTGGCATTTCAAGAATGCTGAGCCCCGCTTAGGTGATTAATGAGTGGCTAAGCCCTCCTAGGAGTCACGCGCTGCCTGGGACAGGCCCTCCTGCTGGCCCCCACCCCTGGCTCACCCAGCCAGGAGCCAGGGACACCCTCTGAACAGTGCCAATGGCCCGCCAGGGCCCTGTGTGGCTGGGGAGAGGAATGACCAGTCTGCACATCAAGGTTCTAGGATTCCCATCTACGCTCTGGCCCCCACCCCATCCTTCCCTGTTAACTGAAGATCCCGTTTATTCGATGCCTACTATATGCCTGGCCCTTTTGGAAACAAGGACATTAATGACCATAGGAATTTCTTATACAGAAAGTGTGTTCTTCGTGTGCAGTGTGACACTCCTCGTCCCCGTCTGGAATGGTGATGATAACACGGGGACAGTGCTAGTGACAGCGGCCCCTGCGGACTGAGCATCTACCAGGCCCCAGCACTATTCTAAGTGCTTTAGGAGTTTATCTCCCAATCGCCCCCGGGGATTTAGTGTTATTAGCATCCCCTTATTCAGAGAGGTCAAGCCTCATGCCCAAGGCAACACAGCAAGGATTCAAACCCAGGCACAGGGGCCTGACTCCACCGGGGAAGGTGTGGCTGGTGACAGATGACTTTCTGGCCATTCCGGGGCTGTCCCATCTTATGGGCTGGGAGTGGCCCCGGAGATGGAGATGAAGATGGGAATGGGGAAGGAGGGAGCACCGGAGCATCACCCCTGCCCTGGCTCCTGAAGCTTCAGGTTTTTTGAGACTGAACTTGGAATCTAGAGTGAATGATGGGGTGATAGAGTCACGGTGTTGCTATTTATAATAGGCCAGGCCCCCTCCTCTGCTCCTCCCCCTCCTCTGGCCAGGAGCACTCCTAATCACCCCTAATCCTCCTGCCCACCTCCCCTGGGATAGGGGGGCCTCAAGCAGAGGCATCCTGGGAGACCCTAATGAGAACCAGATGTGGCTGAGGGGAAGAGAGACCCTCCCGTGCCAGGGGCCGGGAGGACGGGAGGACAGAGGAGGGAGGAGGGAACGGAACTGGGAGGGACGGTGGAGGTGGGCCGCCGGGAGGGAGAGAAGTTTGAGGTTTGGGGGGTTGGTGGGCCTCCCGAAGAACAGCGAGCCCACCTCTTCTCCTTCTCTGGGACCCCACAAGGCCTGCCTGATGTTCTCCCCACATGGCTCAGCCACGTGCCCCCAGGCTGCCCCAGAAACCATATCGGACATTTCTAGTTAAACCTTTGGGAGGGCAGGGTGGGGGTGGTGGCTTGCTGGAGCCCAGAGATTACTAAGGCAGGGGCAGAGTCCCCAGAAGCCCAGGAGGAAGGTGCAGCACACTCTTGGGGGTCCCCTCTCACTGCTCCCAGAAAACCCCTGAAACATCCTTGAGCCAACAATAGATCCCTCCTAGGCAGGACACTAAGCATGTCTCCTGCTGATCCTCGAGACCACCCTGGGAGGTGGGAAAGCTGCCCAAGGTCCCAGCATCAGAAAGTGGCACCACCAGGTCACAAACCAGCATCCCAGCCCTCCCCCTCAGGATACCCAGAGCCCACCTTGAGATCCAAGGCACCTGCCCTGACTACACGCCCTGCCTACCCACTACAGCCTCCTCTCCCAACCAGCTCCCTCCAGGCAACTCTCCACAGCCTCTCTCTGTCTGTCTCTCTCTCTCTCTCTCTCTCTCTGTCTCTCTCTCTCTCTCTCTCCCCTGGGGCCTTTGCACATGCTCTTCCCTCTGCTGGACAAAGCCCATTCCTATTCACTCTTGAGGTTTGGGCTTCAATGTAAGTTTCTCCAAGAGGTGCCCTCTGACTCCCTGTCTTGGCTGGCAGCCTCCTTTCTCCTATCTCCTGGGGCTCCTCACTCTGCGGCCTGGCACAGACCGCACAGGTGGGCGGAGGCTCTGTCCGCTGCCCACCCGCTCCCACGGCTCATGCACCGAGTGCTCACTCTGTACCCACACTTCAGATGGCTCAGATTTAACTCCCCTAACAACTCAATAGGACAGGCGGTTTTCCACTTTACAGATGGGGGACCTGGGATAGGAACCCAGCCCTGCTCTGCCTCTCTGGGATATAAGCATCTAGGCATACAGTAGGTACTCAATAAATGTTCATGGAATGAATGAGCAAAGTGGCACGCAGGACACCAGAACCGGCCTGCCTGGGCCTGGGGACCTCTACCCAGCCATGTTATGGAAGGGTCCGGGGCCACACAAGGCCCCTCCAGGTACTGCACCAGCTGCTCCTCATTAATTAGGGCCTTTATTACCTGCTTTTAACAGGAGCCAGACACTGCCCAGGCAGGCTGGGATAGGAAGCACCCTCCCCTCTTCCCTCCTCCTCGTACTGAGGCCACCCAGCTGGGCAGAAGAAGAACTGACAGGATACCAGCCAGGTGCGGGATGAGGGCGAGTGGGGGCCCAGGTGGTCCTCTACCCTGGACCCCTCCCTTCCCCCCATCATGCTCATGACTACCCCCACACACACACCAGCTGTGGCCGCTGGCTGAGTCTGGGCCATTGTCCCAGGGAACGGGGGAGGGTGGGGACCCAGCACAGTGGGAGGCTTGTGCCCTGCCCACACCTCCCCCCTACCCGTCAATGGGGCACTTGTCAATTCATGTCCCAAACATGGCGGAAATCCCGTTGGCCACGTGGCTATAGGCAGGGGCAGCAGGGCCCAAGTATGCTGGCCAGGCCTAGCTGATCAGAACCCGAGCTGGCAGGGCCTAGGGCCCGAGACTGTCCCCCAACTCTGCCCTGAGTGTCCACCCCCAGCATCTGAATCTGAGGGCATCCTGGCTCCAGGCAATGGCTGGGAGCCAGGGTGGTGGGGGTCAGGGCACTGACCAGCCTAGCACCCCCACAATGCCCTCAGGGACTCCCAGGGTCAAAGAGGCCTAACTGCTAGGATGCCCCCCCCCCCGCCCCGTTGCTCTGTGACCCTTGGCAAGTGCTCTGACCTCTCTGAGGCTCGGCTTGCTTCTCTATCAAGTGCATCCCAGAGCAGCGTGAGTCTTCAGCGAGATGGTAGGGAAGCTCCTGGGCCATCCCTCCAATAGCACTCATTGCTGTTTCCATGTCTGCGGGGCTCCCCTCTCGCCCATGCCTTTCCACCTCACTGTATTTCCACTCCAGAGAGCCTCTGGGGGGCCTCTGACCTCCTCCTGAGTCCCTCTGACACACGACCTGGACGGTGCTATTATTCTGGCACATACACAGCAAAGTCCAGCCTTCAGGCCTCAGCTACAGCCCCTCGCCCCCTATCTTGGCAGGTCAGCCTTCTCTGCCTGCCTGCCTCTGGCAGCCCCTCCTCAATCTTCTCAATCCCAGAGGGCTCCCAGGGCTATCGCTCATTTCCCAATGTTGCCTGAGCTAATCAATGAGCTCCAAACTAATTCACTCTGGGACAGGGCTCTCGCCTCCTTTGGCTTGAACTCTCTACCTTTATTGATATGATCTGTGATTAATGTAATAACTGCTAGCCATCCCTGCTTCAAGCTTCAATTTGTGACCAGATCTTCTCACTCAAAATGCCTTCAGGTCAGATGCTTGATTTTGCAAGCTATCCTTTACGTCTCTGCATCAAGTCCCCAGTTAGCTTGGGACTTAATGATGAGGATGTGCCTCCTAAGTTATTGCCATCGGGTCCTTAAACCTGAGCCACGAGGGCAGCCCAGGTGGCTCAGCGGTTTAGCGCCGCCTTCAGCCCAGGGCGTGATCCTGGAGACCCGGGATCGAGTCCCACGTCAGGCTCCCTGCATAGAGCCTGCTTCTCCCTCTGCCTGTGTCTCTGCCTCTCTTTCTCTGTCTCATGAATAGATAAATAAAATTAAAAAAAATAAAAAAAAAATCTGAGCCACGATTGCCTTTATTACCTCTCAATTTCTTGCCAAAAATGCATAGGAGACCCATTGCCTCCAGGAAACCTGGAGTCTTTGACCACCCCAGGACTATAGCCATGTCCTCCCCCAGACCCTGCATAGCTACCACAGGGCTGAACTCACAGCTCAAGATGCTCCCCAGCCAAGTCCAACAGAACT